CTGGTCTCTCATATCCGATGAGCTCTCATTGATGTTAGGAGTAACTCCGCGAGGAACCGGTCAACCGTTGTGCCTCCGCAATTCTTCTTGTTTTACGTTTTTCAAAAGCACTTTGGTAAGAAGTGGAGGGGGGAGGGGGAACACGACGACGCAATGGGAAATGGGCATGCGATGCCCCAGAAGTAAGCCTATTTTGAACGCGCTGTGCCATTGTGGTGGCGGTGGCGCTGGCGGCGGTGGAGACGCATTTTCTTACTGTGCCTCCGTCGTCTGCCTCTCTCTTTCCCTTCCTCTCCGTCCCTTTGCATGACTGCGTGGTGCTGCATTACCCCTCATTTTTCCCATATCTTCGTCCCCCCTTACATACACACGCACGTGCACTGGAAGAAAGCCTCATTGCTCATCTATTAACAACACCAACAACAACTAAACTGATATGCCCATCAAGGTCGGTATCAACGGCTTCGGCCGCATTGGCCGCATGGTCTTCCAGGCGCTCTGCGAGATGGGTCTCCTCGGCACGGAGATCGATGTCGTGGCGGTGGTCGACATGAACACGGACGCCGAGTACTTCGCGTACCAGATGAAGTACGACACGGTGCACGGCAAGTTCCGCCACACGGTGACGACGGCGAAGAGCAACCCTTCGGTGGCGAAGGACGACATGCTGGTTGTCAACGGGCACCGCATCCTGTGCGTGAAGGCCCAGCGCAACCCCGCGGACCTGCCGTGGGGCAAGCTCGGTGTCGACTACGTGATTGAGTCGACGGGTCTGTTCACGGTCAAGAAGGCGGCGGAGGGCCACCTGCGCGGTGGCGCTAAGAAGGTCGTCATCAGCGCCCCCGCCTCCGGCGGTGCCAAGACGTTCGTGATGGGCGTCAACCACCACGAGTACAAGCCCAGCGAGCACCACGTGGTGTCGAACGCCTCATGCACGACGAACTGCCTTGCACCCCTCGTGCACGTCCTGGTGAAGGAGGGCTTCGGTGTGGCGACAGGCCTCATGACGACGATCCACTCCTACACGGCGACTCAGAAGACGGTCGACGGTGTGTCGATCAAGGACTGGCGTGGTGGGCGTGCGGCCGCGATGAACATCATCCCGAGCACGACAGGTGCTGCGAAGGCGGTGGGCATGGTGATCCCGAGCACGCAGGGCAAGCTNGATCAAGGACTGGCGTGGTGGGCGTGCGGCCGCGATGAACATCATCCCGAGCACGACAGGTGCTGCGAAGGCGGTGGGCATGGTGATCCCGAGCACGCAGGGCAAGCTGACAGGCATGTCGTTCCGCGTGCCGACGCCAGACGTGTCGGTGGTGGACCTCACCTTCACCGCGACGCGCGACACGAGCATCAAGGAGATCGATGCCGCCCTTAAGCGCGCGTCCAAGACGTACATGAAGGGCATCCTTGGCTACACGGATGAGGAGCTTGTGAGCACCGACTTCATCAATGACAACCGCAGCTCCATCTACGACGCCAAGGCGACGCTGCAGAACAACCTGCCCAACGAGCGCCGCTTCTTCAAGCTCGTGTCATGGTACGACAACGAATGGGGCTACTCCCACCGTGTGGTCGACCTTGTCCGCCACATGGCCGCGAAGGACCGCGTCTCGAAGCTGTAGGTCGCGGCAGCACTGGTCTCTCATATCCGATGAGCTCTCATTGATGTTAGGAGTAACTCCGCGAGGAACCGGTCAACCGTTGTGCCTCCGCAATTCTTCTTGTTTTACGTTTTTCAAAAGCACTTTGGTAAGAAGTGGACGGGGGAGGGGGAACACGACGACGCAATGGGAAATGGGCATGCGATGCCCCAGAAGTAAGCCTATTTTGAACGCGCTGTGCCATTGTGGTGGGGTATTTTCGTACTCTGGCTCTTGGTTAGGTTTTATACTATGAAATGTGATGTGTTGCTTACTTCTTTTTTTTTGTTGTTTTATTTTTTTAGGACGGTTTCTGTTATTTAGTGTTTGGGGTGGTTAGTTGTTGTGCGATGCGTCGGACGCCCACTCTGCGTTGGACGTTTTCAAACAACACGGGGCAGTACAGCCCACCTGTGTACATGCCGTTGGAGTACGCTAGTCGCGTGACAAATCAGAAGCAGCTAGTGTTTACTCACCCAAGAGACCCAAAATATGGGTGGAACACACATGTAGAGGAGTTAGCCTCGCTTCACCCTGGTATTTTCGGTCGTGGCCGTCGCACTCCGCAGTTGAATTGGTACAACCGTGGTGGGATCGTGTGTGAAATTCCTCCTGTCCCTGTTTATCGCTCGCATATATGGTGCCAGGGTCACTCGCATTTTATTTTGCAACATCCGAAGATTTTTATTAAATGCCCTCCCGGTGAGGTGGTGTGTTGCAAGTGGTGCCGTCTAAAGTTTATTAACATGGCAACAGAAGACGACAATGACGAGGACTGGCAGGAGGAGGAGCACAAAATAGCAACAACACCGGAGTCTCCATCAGATTTGATGCAGCCGATCCGTGATATTGGAGGCGTTCTACGTGAGTGCCCGTTCCAGGATGGTAAGGACCCGGACCCCTACGTATACCGCGCTGTGTTTGATCCCGAGCGATATCGGTGGAAACACCCCCATCACAAGTATGAAACGCACCCTGCGTATGCTGATTCCAAGGGTACAGGTGAAGGCGGTGCAGCGCACTAGTGGAGGGAATTTTTTACCTGTGTGTCTGTGTTTGGATGGACTTGAAAAATGGGGCTAGAGATCCATTCATTACTTGGTCTTGTTTATAGCTGGGGAGAAGGGAATGATGTTTAGTGGGGCATGTGGGTCTTATGCTGAAGCTAGAGGAAGTATATTGCTGGGGGGAGTTAGGGGAGTCTAGTTTTAGTGAGAAACAGTAGCTGTCTGTTCAGGCGTGGCAGCTGCGTGGGGGGACGTGAATCCCTTAGAATGTAGTGCGAATAGAAGCTAGTGGACTATTCCAAAGAGATATGTCTTGGTATTGCTTAAGGAATCAATATGTGAAATAGGCAGAGTGGTTGCAACGTGTATCTTTTATTCTCTTTTTTTTTCACTTCTCTTGTTTCGGCGTGTGCATTTGCTTTTGCGATTTTCTAAAAATTTCGAGGTCCTTATCAGGGAAGGCTCTTGTGGTAGTGGTGGCGTTGGTGGGGCAGTGCGTGTTTGAGGCAATGGCGAAGAATGTTCTGCGACTTCCCACCTACTCGGAAGAAGTGCCGGGCGCAGATGCCATGGTAAAAGCGCTGCGCGCCGGAATGCCTATAGACCGCTTAGATTCGAGATTCCATGTGCACAGCCGCACCCTCAGTATTGTGGGAAACAACGGAGGGCTGCAGTACTCTCCATCAAAAAAGCGGGGCAAGCAGGTGATTTTGTTTACTGACCTTCTCGAAATCTCTAGGGAGGAGCCCTACGCGCAGACATACCAGAAGGCGCGACTACTGCCGACAGAAAAAACAATTGTTAACGTACGCAGCAGCAACGGTAAGCATTGGCGGCTTGTCTTTCACACCACTGAAGAGTGCAATGCGTGGTTTAACGCCATCGGTTTTATTCTGCAGAGTCGACTACCTACTACCCAAACGACCGGTGTTGACTCACGTATTCGGTCCATGTGGGACCGCGCGGATGGCAACCTCGACGGAAAACTTTCGCTGAAGGAGGTGAAGCAACTACTCACACGACTCAGTTTTGGTTCTGTGGGAGATAAAAAATTACGACATGTGTTTGAGCAATGCGACACGTCTGGTGATGGCAGCTTGGACCTGGAGGAGTTTCGGCGTCTCTACATGCTTCTCATTGATAGACCGGAGCTCCGCAGCATCTTTGAGGCCCACGCGATTCACAATTCAGATGAGGGCATGACCTTGAGTGAGTTTGAGGCATTTTTAAAGAAGCAAGGCGATCCACCGGGGTTTGGGCGTGAGCAGTTCAAGAGGTTCGGAATAGCCCTGGATAAGTATCTTTCATTTACTCTTTTTGTAGTATTTCTCCTCGACTTTGTGCGAAACTCCGCGATACACCCCTGCGCTACGACGGTGGTGGACGACATGAACCACCCGCTGTGTCACTACTTCATCAACAGCTCACACAATACATATCTAACAGGGAACCAGTTGGGATCATCCAGCTCTGTGGCGATGTACAGGGAGGCATTGATGGCTGGATGCCGCTGCGTGGAGGTGGACTGCTGGGACGGCCCCAACAACGACCCAATCGTATACCACGGCTACACCTATACATCGAAAATACGTTTTGAGGATGTGATTGAGTCCATCAACGAGCACGCTTTTGTGGTTTCAGAGTACCCTGTTATTCTTTCGCTTGAGGTTCACACATCCCCAGAGCAAAGCAGGGTAATGGCGGAAATATTACAACGGGTCATGGGGGAAAAGCTGCTGATGGCAGAGGACATTGGGAATGTGGTGTTCACACCCAAAGGATTGCGCAAGCGTTTCTTGGTGAAGTGGGAAATGCTTGACAAGGAGTTTGAGAACAGTGCAGAGGAGGCCGAGGAAGGGGAGGGGGATGGTGTTGTGGCACCCTCGCAGCGCATCCATGCCACCTCCTGCCCTGAGCTCAGCCGCTGCGTCAGCGTCGGTATTTGGCGAACACAAAACTGGGGCAAGGATGCGGGGCCGCACATGGTTCAAAGCTTCACCGAAGTTAAGGTGCGTGAACTTGCTAAGACAGGAAAGGAGAACCTTCAGCTGCAGAACACGCGGATGCTCTCGCGGGTGTATCCGAAGGGAACGCGGGTCGACTCTTCTAATTACGATCCCATGACACCTTGGTTGCTCGGGTGCCACATGGTTGCCCTCAATTTCCAGACGTGGGACGAGCCCCATCGCATGAACGACGGTATGTTTCTGCAGAATGGGCGGGGCGGCTACGTTCTCAAACCGGCCTTCTTGGTTTACCCCGAACGGGGTTTGTCTTCCAAGCATTACACGTTGCGTGTGACAGTTGTGTGTGGGGCGCAACTTCCACGGCCTGGGCTAAAGAAGAAAGGTGATGCTGTGGATCCATATGTCAAACTAAAGATTGTGGGCGAAACTACAAAGAGCTCGGTGCAAACAAAAACAGTGTNCCATATGTCAAACTAAAGATTGTGGGCGAAACTACAAAGAGCTCGGTGCAAACAAAAACAGTGTGGAACAATGGGCTAAAGCCTGTATGGGATGAAACGTTCGAATTGAGCGGCACCTGTGTGGAGCTTGATATATTGACAATCCGCGTGATGGACGCAAACCTAAACAGTGACACGGAGGTTTGCGATGCTAACATACCTGTTCGGTTGTTGCGCAACGGATATCGCGCAGTGCCGATGCGGCTCTGTGCGAGTGGAATCGCGTTACAATCCGCAACAGTACTGTGCTATTTCAAGCTCACCCTTGAGGGCGGACAAGAGAAACTGCCTGATACAAATGGTTTGTCGTCGTTTGGGTGTTGCTAATGACTGTCACGGCTTGGTGTGGATATATATATATATATATATATATATATATTGATTTATATATTTATATATTGATATAGTTCTAATTGTGCCGGTGTGGGAGCTTACGAAGAGCGAAAAAAAGACAGATGTATGTCTTGTTCGTTTCCACCTCCTAATCACCAGACAGCTGTTTGTTCCCATCGCTTCTTTTCGTGAGAGTCCGCGGAAGGAATGCTGTAGCCTTCCTGCTTCTATACTGAAAGCGGTTATATGTTTCTTGTCCCATTCGTCTGCGCAAGGTTGGTGCGGAGTGTAAGTTATAAAGGCCCATCTAACCCAATCCCCTCAGCTTCGCTCTGAAGGCGTATTGAGGGCACATTGAGCACCTCCCTTTCGTTAATGCTGTTGTTGGTTGTTGAGAACGAGAGGTATTGCAAGACTCTCTTTTGTGGAGATTGTTCTAAATATAGAGGCTGTTTTATTTGATAGAGGAAAGTGGGGTCGAAGAGCAACATGTCTCACTTCTCCCTTTTTTTCCCCCGTTTTTGTTTCTGTTTTTCTTTTTTTTTCCTTTGAAAAAGGAAACAGTGGGGCGTAGACTATTCCTCCTTCGTGCTACATTCTTTTGTAGTTGCTTCCCGCTCAAGTTGCTTAGCTGAAGCGGAGCCGTGAAAGTTGATGTCCCCTTTCCTCGTTGTCGTCGTTACCGTCCTTCTGTCGCTTGCCGTGAATGTTAAGGCCGTGGATGGCGACATTGAATGCGGTANCGCGATGGCATGTTTCCCGTGGGCGGGGGAACAAGAGGGGTCGCCGTGCATTCGCGGCCAACGAATGAACCTTCGCTTTATGCTGGACGTTGCGCAGGAGAACCTTGACATGGAAGGTGGTGCGAATACGACCGTAGTGTACGGATTCTGCCCTATTGTCGACCGCCTCGAGACCTTTTCGCTGGCGTATGCACCTGAATTGGTGAGTGTCTACGACAAAGACGGCGTACAGACTCTTACGCGTTCGATTGGTAGAAAATATCTTTCTGTGTATGGGTTTGGTATGTCGAATAGTACTTTTTTTCCTCAGAAAGGCGTCTCCGCGGGTGCAGTACTTATCGCAATGAATGGAAGTACATTATGTGGCTCCTACCGTTCAGTGGCGCTGGTACATACCTTGACACTGGACATCGGCTTCTACAAGGGAATGTTTAACTACATTGGGGCCACGGAACGCTCCCAATCGCCTGTAAAGAGTGACGACTCAACCAAGAACGGTGCATCCGGCAGTCTTGAGAACTCTCTTTTCGAGGCAGATGAAGTCGTGGTGCAGCCTGCAATGGTTGGATTCCGTCCAACCTGCGACGCCAATGATGTGTGTCTCTTTGATCCAAATAGTGTTTGCGTGGGGTCGATTGTGGGAAAGAAGAACTGCGCGACTTGTTACAGATCTCCCACAGAGATACACAATGCCCGTCTTAGTGTGTGGACGTCGTACTACGGGACGGACTTTAAGGGTCGTCCGATGCGGAGCAGTGGTTTGAACCCCTTGAATTACCAGCAGTTCGCAGGAAATGGGCTGTTCAATGATATATCACGTACCCTTGACTCTTTAAGAGAAGGAAATCTCGATGCCCTCGGGTAGGAAATCGGTAAATACTCTGCAAGTCTAAATAAATAGGACTCTGGTGCAGAATATAGGAATGGCTTCCGCAGATAAGTGACACTAATCATGCGATCGGTCTGTGGTCGTCTCCATATATTTGCGTCAGATATGAGGTGGGCTTGAAGCCAAGAAATGTATGACCACTCCAAATGTCATGAAAAGTTTTGCTTCGTTCTTCTGTTTTTATTATTGTTTCTTCTTGGAAGCTCCACAACTGTCCACTCCCGTTTGCGTCAGTGTCCCTTGGTGAATTGTTGCAGAGAAGTCGAGTCCTACTTGGGGCGGAGGGGGGGGGGAGTTGCCCACCTATGGTGTGACTCGCCCAAGATAACTTTTTCTTTTTTTTTTGTTCTTTACTGCAGCATTTTGTAAAATGCGCCTCACTCTTGTAGTTTTCATTGTGGCTTGTGCTGCCACCTTGGTCCTGCCAGGGGCGCGGAGCAACGAATGCAATGATGGCACGGCCTGCCAGCCGTGGGTGGCGGACAAACCGTGTTCCATAGGCCAAAGGATGGACCTCCGCTATGGCGCGCGGCACACTGGATCCGGCACCATGGGCGCGTTGGGGTTCTGCCCCATTGTAGATGAGTTGCAGGCATTTAACTTGACAGGAATGGGGTCGGTGCTTTCCAGCGTGCAAATGGGTGGGAACGCTTCCCTCATCGTCTACGGGCAAGGAAAAGCATCGAATCCAACGACGGAATACTCCAATGAGACGCTCTACGCGGAGGTTTCAGACAAGTGTAAGGTGGGGGAATTGGCAGTCGTCAATTTTTTGTTGTTTCGTTTGTCAATGACACTTGGACAATATACGTACGCAAGCAACACATCTTACCCGGAGAGTGCTGGATTTGAACCCACGTGTGATAAGCATGATCGGTGTCCGTATGTCTCCGATAGTGTTTGTATTGGACACAGTGGAAGTCGTAACTGCGCCAGGTGCTATTCAGCGGAGTCATTGAAATCAGCGCAGACGATCGTGTGGGCCTCATATTACGGTACGGACCGTGGTGGCAAGGTGTTCAGGAGCGGTGAGTCGAATCCAGCGCAGTTCCAGAAGTTTAGTATTGGTGCCTTGGATGCAATGGCGAGATTTATCGGTGAATAGCGGTGCACCACATTATTTCCGTGTGGTTAATTAACACGGAGGAAGCAATGTGGATACTGGGGTCTTGTGGTTGCAGTTTGGAGTGATTCCTTAGATGTTTTTGTTTATGTGTGTGAGTGTGTGCTTTATGGCGTTTTTTTTTCTCGTTTATCTTATCTCTCTGCTTCTATTCCTTTCCCGCAGGTGCAGACCGGCCCATGTCATGTCTAATATTATTCGGATGACCACGGCAGCCGTTGGACTTTGTGGCGCGGGAACAATCCTGTATCACAGATGCCTGGCCCGAAAGCCGCCTCTTGAACGCAACAGGGATCTTCTCCGCTTGGCAGCCGTAGCACTCTCCAGTGAGGTGGTTGATACTGTCCTGGTTCGTGATGAACAACTGCAGAAGCTCCTTCGAGGGTTTGTGAAGGATGTGTTTTTGCACCCAGATGTAGTGCAGGAAATTAAAGCGTACGTGAAGGAGGAGTTCACCAATAACGAGGCCACAGTTACCGCGCTGCGTAAGTTCATTGTTGAGGATATCATTTGTGACACGTGGGTTGCAGATGAACTGATCAGCATGGTGAAGGAGGCAGGCAAGGAGATTGTAGAGGACCCTGCGGTGCACCCCGGCCTCACGCTTCGATTAATCGGCTCCGCTGCGCAAGAGGGGCTGCAAACAAGCACATTCAAGGAGTCGCTGTGGCAGGCGCTGCGGGCGTCGTTGTGGCTCGCGTTCCTCGGGCCCCCGCCGGAGCACCTCGGCGTGTGGAGGGCGAAGTAAATGGGGGAACGCCGTGACAGCAGATACGCCAAGCAAAATACTACTGGGTTTCCTGTACACGTTCATAAACATACAGAGAATTGTTCATGAGCACACCTACAATGTTTGTCTTTTTGTTATTATTTGTTGTTTCGTTCTGTGTTGTTGTTTTTTCGTCCGTGTTGTTTTTGGTCTCATAAGCCTTCCCCTCTTGGTGTAGGATGGGTCGCTTCGGCGTCACTCTGTGCCTCGTCCCTCAGTCATGTGGACGCGGAGTGGAGTACCTGCCTGAGGATCAAGTAAAAGTCGCTTTGGGCAGTGCTCTTACTCGTGTCGACCGCGTGCTGAGCCATGCATCTCCCCATCGCATCGCCGGTGCTGTAGCGGATAGCGTACGCGCGGCTCCTGCATTTACACATCAGCTTAACATTCTTATTGACAACGGCAACTCCATGGAGACCCTGGTGCCGTTTCTGTGCGATATTACGGCGCAGCAGAGTAGTGATGATGAACTTCCATTGCAGTGTATGATATTTGCCTCTGACGAGGCGTCTGTAGTGTGCGAGATTCTCGGGAAGGAGGAGATGGGTTCGGTAAGAGACGTTGTGAAGGGAATGCGGCAGATTGTGCTGGTTGGCTTGAAATACAAGCAGCGAACGGTTACTCTGCTTGTTGTTGATCAGCTCTCCACAACCCTCATCGCTGCAATGCTGAACTCGGCTTGGTGTCACTTATGGCTTGTGCAGAGTGGCCATCAGGTGATTGAGCGTTCCGTGACAGTGTTGCGTGAAGCCGTCGCCGTGTGTGACGCGGCAAAGGACTTTCGCCACTCTCCTGATTCTGTTGTGACGGGACCAAGAGATATCGAGGCGTTGTTGCAAGCACGTGCATCATCAGATATGGAGGCGCAGCAGCTAGCTGCGTGGTGGCGGCAGTACACCCTCGGAGATGAAAGCGCTCCCTGTCAGGCCATTGCTGATGAAAATGTCGCACTGCGAACCGAACGTGCCCAGCTGCAGGCCCACTGGGCGCGGCGCGAGGAAGACTTCGCGAGACAGTTGAAGGAGACTGAGCATGAAATAGAACGTCTGAAGCAGGCACTCCAGGAGGCTGAGGCAAGCGCCACAGAGCTAGGGTCAAGGCTTGTTGAGAATAAAGAGGAGACCCGCGCCCAAAAGGAAGGCTTGACCGCGGAACAATCCGAGGGTGACAAGAGACTTCATCAGCTCCTTCAAGAGTACCACGATCGATTTGGAGAGCTAAAGGAGGAAAATATGCGAAATGTATTGGAGTTCCATGAGAGAGAGAAGGAATGGCAGGCGGAACTGCGGCGGGAGGCCGAAGGGCGTGAGATGCTCGCGGAGGAATGCCGCCAACTCCGCACCGTTGTGGCCGAGCAAGGTTCCAGCATGGATCTCGTCAAGGGGGCTCTCCAGGCCACCAGAGCGCTGCAGGAGCAGGAGATAGACGAGCTTTTGAACAAGGTGCGGGCCATATCTTCCGCGAGCACATCTGTTGGTCACCGCCGTGTCTCGCCCCGCCCAGTGGAACGCTCCGGCTTGCGTAATCGCATTCGAGTGTTGTCACCAGCTCCCATTATGAGGGGTACTGTTTCCCCATAAAGAAAGAAAGAGAGTGAGAGGAGACTTTTTTTTTTTTTTGAGAGGGAGAGAGAGACCCGCTGTTTCTTCCTGGCAGTGTCTTTCTTCTTTGGTTTGGTTTGTGGTGTGTTCTGTGCAAGTGGTCTGCCGTGCTTGGGCCATGTGTGAGTCGTCATTGTGTTCTCAAGTGTCTTTTCTTTTCGCTTATTACGCTGCTGGTGTCGCTGTTTTCTTTATTGCGGTTGTTGTTGAAAGTCTGTGTGACACCCCACTTCACTGAGCGCAGGTACACTCACACACACACAAACGCTACGCATAAATATCAGTACGTGTCCCCAATACACACATAAACACACATATCGGGAGTGAGGGGAAGATAGCAATGGCAGGGTCTGGGGAGACTTCTTCGGGCAACGGCGTGCAACTGGTGTGCGCTCAGCGGGGATGGAAGACGTACCGCGTGCGTGGACAAGTTTTTGAGGTGGAGGACCGCTACACGCTGACATCGGTCGCCGGCTACGGTGCCTACGGTGTGGTGTGCGGTGCGTTTGACAACATCACCTTTCGTGATGTGGCAATCAAACGCGTTGGTCATGTTTTTGAAGATTTAATCGATGGCCGACGTATTTGGCGAGAGATAGTCATTCACCGCGTCCTGCGGCAAAACGGCTGCCGTAACATGCTGAACCTCACGCGCATTGTCCCCCCTAGAGATGGTATCTCAGAATTCCGTGATTTATACATAGTTACTGATCTTTATGACACCGATTTGCACGCAACCATTCATCGTCTGAAGAACACATCCATTGAGGGACTGCGGCGTGTCATGGTGCGTGTGCTTCGCTGCTTGGCTGATATGCACTCGATGGGGATCATTCATCGGGACCTCAAACCCAGCAATATACTGTTGGGTGATGAACCTGATAGCGACAACGCCGTTGTGTGCGACTTTGGTCTCGCACGCGCTGGTGTTTTGGACCTAAATGAACCACTTGACCTCACGGATTACGTTGTCACCCGCTGGTATCGTCCACCTGAGCTCCTGTTGATGTGTCGGTATGGCTTGCCCATTGACCTATGGGCGATTGGCTGTATCATTGCTGAGTACTTGATGGAGCGACCACTATTTGGAGGCCGCGATTACGTTCATCAAATGCAATTAGTGATTTCTAGCATTCCTGTCACGGGTACAGAGTTCATCGAGAGTGCCAGTCCCGGGGCGATGGTGTTCCTGAATGATGTCGTGAAGAAGTATAAGAACACGAGGCCACTAGAACAGGTGCTAGTGGCATTACCACCTGACGGCCTTGACTTGGTGACGAAGCTTCTCGTTTTTGAACCAAGTAAACGATTGACAGCGCTGCAGGCGCTTCAGCACCCATTCTTCGATTCTGTCGGTGGTGAAGGGACGACTGAGTGCACACAACCGCCAAAAATGGACTTATCATTCGATTTGCACGCTGAAATATCGGAGCCGCAGCTGCGGCGGGTCATTTGGGCGGAGGTGATGTACTATCAGCTGCTTGAGGCAAAGGAGAAGAAAATGAGCAGGTACCACTGAGGACGGAATGAAAACAGGGAGTGAGGAAAAGAAAAAGAGTGCAACCAAGAGTGGCCGCTGGTTTCAGCGATAATTGTTTAACCAGTTTTCGTTGTTGCTTTGGTGGCTTTTTCTTTTCTTCATTTCACACTCTTGGGTTGTGTTTCGAGACTCTTGTAGAGTGCACCGGAGGCCGGAGGTGGAGACGCTGTCACACCGGTCTCGTTCTCCGCTCTCTCTGCCCTCTGCCCTCCCTCTCTCTCTCTCTGTGTGTGTGTGTGTGTGCTTCTCTGCCATGTGGATTATATTGGTGGCCGAAAGTGGAAAGAGAGAGACAGAGAGAGGGAGGGAGGGAGGGAGAGAGAGACGATGCGCTTGCGTGTATGGAGGGGAAGAATGGAGTGAAAGGAAGCGGATGGCTGTAGTAATTGGTGCGCTTCTTCATTGTATAACGCAAAAAAAAAAAAAACGGCGTGTGGTGTGGAAAACAACACCTTATTTTTGATGTGGGACTTGATTGGCTGTCAGTTCACATTGTCCTCTTCGCTCCTGCCAATGGTGGTGCCCCTTCGTCTCATCACACACACACACACAGGAAGAGGAAGACGAAGAAAAAAAGTCAATCTATTTTTGCCGTCAAATACCTGAGGGACATCGGAGAGGGGGCCAAGGACAATCATATCAGTTGCCCCACACTGCCGCCACCCCTTACCCAAATGTTCTATTGGGTTATTCTGCTGGCAGTAGTGGAGTGGAAGTTGGGCCTCGTGCGTGGCCTGTTGGCAGTACTGCAGCACGCAGTGGAGCGCTACACGGCGCCAGCCATCACAGTGCCGCTGCCTGAGACAAAGTTTGATGTCAAACCAGCGACGGAGTCACTCACGCCGCGTTCTGGTCCCCCCGACATGATTCGTTGCTACGACAAGGGCACCAATACGCCAATTGGTCTCGTCAAAATCACCACTCCTGAGGAAGTGCGTGCGGCCGTCAGTCGGGCTCGTGAAGCTCAGAAATCGTGGGCAAAGTCGTCCTTTGCAACAAGGCGGCAACTTCTTTTCAGTCTGATGGAGTATGTACTGAAGCATCAGTCATTTATTTGTGAAACCGCGTGTGTGGAGTGCGGTAAAACAATGATGGATGGCTCCCTTGGAGAAATGCTCACCACGCTCGAGAAACTCCGATGGACAGCCGCGCAAGGAGAGGAGGTGCTGAAAAAGGAGGTGCGTGACGTGGGACTGCTGACGATCCACAAGCGTGCCGAAGTCAACTATGTTCCTTTTGGGGTTATTGGAGCCATTGTGTCATGGAACTATCCTTTCCATAACATCTACGGGCCTATGATATCGGCACTCTTCGCTGGGAATGCGTTTGTCGGCAAAGTGTCCGAGTACTCTTCCTTCTACGCGTCGTACTATCAGTCGATTGTGCGGGAGGGCTTGAGGCAACTGGGCTACTCCCCGGATCTCGTCACGTTCGTCACAGGATTTGCGGAAACAGGCGAGGCACTCGTGAGCTCTGTGGACAAACTCACGTTCATCGGGTCCCCTGGTGTTGGGAAAATCATTATGCGCAACGCTGCCGCAACACTCACGCCCGTAGTATTGGAGCTTGGAGGCAAAGACCCCGCGGTGGTGTGTGATGACGCTGACTTGGCGCAAGTAGTACCAATCATCATGCGAGGTACCTACCAGAACTGCGGTCAGAATTGTGTCGGACTGGAGCGTGTTCTGGTGCAAGAGTCCATTCACGACCGTCTCGTGGCGGAGTTGGAGAAAAAAGTCCGCACGCTTACGCAGGGTCCGGCGTCACAGGGAGTCTATGATATGGGGGCAATGACGATGGGAGAGGCATCCGTGAAAACGATACAGAGACTCATCGACAACTCCGTCAAAGCTGGTGCAACTGTTCTTTGTGGTGGAAAAGCCGGTCAGAATTTCTTCCCGCCGACAATTATCACCAACGTAACTCCAGAGACACCGATTGCTCGGGAAGAAGTTTTTGGTCCTGTGCTTGTCGTGATGAAATTCAAGACTGATGAAGAGGCTGTGGAACTCGTCAACGCATGCGACTATGGTCTCGGGTCGAGTGTGTTCTCTAGAGATATCGCACGGGCGACGCGGATCGCGGACCAGCTGAGGACAGGGATGACAAACATAAATGACTTTGGTATCAATTATCTGTGTCAGTCTTTACCTTTTGGCGGTGTTAAAATCAGCGGCTTCGATCGGTTTGCGGGGAGAGAAGGTCTCCGTGGGAACTGCGTCGTGCGCGCATCCACGACGGACCGCATTCCCGGTGTGAAGACGACCATCCCGCCCATTCTGCAGTATCCAATAACTGACGCTGCATTCTCGTTTATGGAGTGCCTGACAACCCTCATCTACGGCCGGATGTTGCCTGCTCTCTCCAGCGCTGTCAAGCTCGCCTCTATAAAGCCAACGTCGTCAAAAAGTAAATAGCGCAAGAACAGGGGAAAAGGGGGCAAAAGGTAAATAGACGAGAGGCAGAGGGGNGGGGGGGGGGGGGAGAAAGAGGCAAATAGAGAAAGAGAGAGAGAGAGTGGAGGGCGCAGAAAAGCCTGGCAGCCTGGGATTTTAACCCGAGCATCACAGGAGCATAGCAACGGTTTTCTTTCTTGTTTTTTTGTTTCTTTGCCGGTGGCGGGACAGGTTGGGTTTTGTGCCCGTGGAAGAGACTTCCTCTGCTGCCTCTTCAAGGAGCTCCCATTCCTTGTTTGCCTTCACCACTTAAAGGTAGTGTGCGTGTGTTGTGTGTAGTGAGGCAATGGCCATCTGCCCAGGCCTCTGCGGGGAGCTGGCTGCGACGCCCTTCAGAGTATTCTTGGGAACTCTCCCAGCTCTCGCCGTGGAGGAGCGATTTCTGCGGCAACTGCAGCCGGTATATGCATGGTACAGCACCCGCAAGCGTGTGAAGGAGCAGGCAAACGAGTTCATTGAGATTGACTTGGCCTCATGTGATCTTGAACTGCTTCTGCGTTACTCACACGTGTATTACGTGAGGCGTCAGTTGTTTGACGAAGCGATTGACAAGCAACTAACGCTGCTGGATACGGGGAAAGCACCAAAAATGGCTGAACCCGCATTGCTTCAGTGCCTCCTTGGCTGCAACGTGGCGATTACTGAACGTTTGCAGCATGAGGTTCAGCAGCTGCAGGCGGCGAAGAAGGCGGCGTGTGTGGCGGGCAGGCGTGAACTCGACCCCAATGCTCCACTTGAGGTGTACGACTACGCCTGCATGATGAGGCTAGTCGAAGAGGACGTGGGCGGCGTCGAGGACGCGGAGATGAAGGCGCGCGCGTACCTCCCCCGCGACCTTGTAGAGGCCAAGATGAAGCATCTTACGCAGCAGCTCATGGGGTCCGACGCTAAGGTCGCGCTGGAGAAGAAGGAGTTGAAGCTCTTCAACCGCATGATTCCTCCAGACTACACAAAGGTTGGCTGTGTTGAAAAATTGCGTCCTTCTGATGTGACATCATACTTCCGCTTCTACGGGGAGCACATCAACAAGGTTAATCCAGAGAATTACTTTAAGCGAGCTCTATGGGGACATGTGTATCGCAAATTTGCAACGAATTCATCCTTTCTCCGTGGTGCATCAATGTACTGGGCTCGGCACAGTGGCCTGAGCCCCTCCGCTCACGCCACAAGCATGCCGCAGGAAGTAGCCGTTGCAGTTTGTAAACAACAGGCCCTCTTCTCGGCCATCAAATTCCGTTCGCAATACGTCTACACGTCACCCGAACTGGCGCGTCAGCTATGGCGCACCGATGTAGTGATACCGCTCTTGCGTCTTTTCCCTCTTATTGGCGCTCGGGCAGCGGAGGATCTAGCTGCTGGTATCGTTGTGGATGCTTTCTGGGCGAGTCTACCACTGGGTGAGGATGAGAATCTCCTTCACGACACCATAATACGTTCGGTGCGTCAATTCGTTGATGAAATAGGCAACACATATGAAGTCAACGTTGATGGTGTGCTTAAGCGTGTGGAGGAGGGCTGCAGGGTGGCTGTGCCGCAATTGACAGTGGAGGAGCTGCAGGCGACAACTGCGAAGGACAATGGAAAGGTTCTAGAGGAAGCACTCGCGTAGCAACCAGGACAAGGAATGGAGTGCGATCGGTGTAAGCTTAAAGGGTGTCTGTTGTCCCTTTTTTTTGCCCTTTGTTGGCTTCACTCACACATTGAGAGACTTCCCTGCACGGTAGTGGCTGGCAGCAGTGCATTTCTGCTCAACCATGGTGGATTGAGCAGCTAGACACGTGTACTGTTCTAGAAACGTTTTCTTACAACTTGATTTTCTGCTTTTTTTTCTTTTGGTGTTTCTTATTTTGTTTTTATTCTCTTCCTGCCCACACCCTTGTCGGTGGATTAGTGTGTATGGGGAAGGGTGGACTTGCGCGCCTGCTAGCCACGGAGGTGCTGAGGGGGGATGTCAACGTCTGTTGTGGTCTGCTGCGGCGGATATTCAGCGAGACGGTAGAGGAGAACACCATGCAGCAACTGCAGCGTGGCCAGCAGCAGGGTCTTATCAGCGATGTGATTGCGTTGGGTAAGGTCAGTCTTGCAGATAACGCATCGCTTCTGCGTCCCGCCACGGTGGCTGTTCTGTGTCACGCCTCTCAGCGTGTTGGTGACTGGCGAAGTGCACTTCACTTCGCGGAGGCGCTGCCGAGCCCTCCGTCCCCATCGTTCCTTTCCTCCCTGCTGTCGCCGGTGAACTGCGACGCGATGCTCCACTTCTGCGAGCGGAAAGGATGGCCCTTGGATGTGCCACACGCCACACGGGTGCTGGCTGAGGAACACGGTAGTTGGCTCTCTGCCCTGGCAGTGGCGGAGGCAATGGAACGTCAGTTCCACATGGGTGAGTGGTATTCCTTGGGCGTGTTGATTCCGCACCTTTCCGCAAGTGGCGCGTGGGAACGGGCAGTAGAGTTGTTTGCCGCTGGAATTGCACAAGGATCTCTAGTGGATCCAAAGTTTGTGGGAGATCTTGTGCGTCGAACAGCGGAATTAAAGCAGTGGCAGATGTCTCTCTACATGATGTCGGTGATTGAAAAGACAAAGGAAGCGGCGCAGATATGTCCTTCAGATGTGGGTTTCTTCAGAGATGTCATGAATGTGTCGCCGGACTGGCAATCATCACTTGCAGTGTTTAATATTGCGGTCGCCATGGGTATTAAACCAGACAACTCTATGGTGAGTCTTTTACTGGGGCAATGTGAAGAGGCAAAGGCGTGGCTAGTGGCGACTAAAGTTTATGACACTGCCCTCATGGAAGGATTTGTCTCAAGTTTCGCTGGTGACTCGTATCAAACCCTTATTCGGTCTTTTCATGCTGCTAAGCAATGGGAGAAGGCGTTAGCGGCTCTTTCTTGGATGGCAAAAGCTGGTGAGGCGTCGGCAGCGACTGGAATGAATGAACTACTGGAGTTGTGTGAGCAGTCAGGCCAGTGGGAAGCGGCGGTAAGGATCGGTGAGATGCTCCGCGAGACGCATCCATGTCTTCCTGTGCGCACGCGTCTCTCCCTCTTGTTTGCGTGTGCGAAAGGGGCAATGTGGCAAGTTGCAATGGAGGTGCTTCAAGACTCCTTTGCCGATGCGAGCCAGCCGCCACATCCTCTTTCTATTTGTGCGGCTATGCAGGCCTGTGTGGCTGCCAACCGTTGGAAGGATACCATGGCACTCCTTCAGCGAGCACGAGAAGAGGAACCCAGAGTGGTGTTGCCGCCGTTGGCACATCGGTTAGCTGTTAAGGCGTGTGTGGGTTCGGGACGCTGGTTAGAGGCTATAGCACTCCTTGAAGACATGCGTGCATATGGCCTGCCTCGGGATAACCACACTCAGCGTCTTGGAGTGTGGGCCGCGGCTCTCTCCGGTAACTGGCAACTCTCGCTGGAGCACTTGCAGCACCTCCCACTGGCCCACCGCACTCCACAGGATCGCCTCGTCGTTCGTGGTGCAACACGAAACGCCAGTTTGACGGCGAAAGCTATTGCTCTGAAGTACCTCCAGCAGCAGTAGACTTGAATATGCAGTGGTGTTCTGAACTCAGGATGGTGTTCGCCTGGACAGGCAGTGAAGAATTTTGTTTGGTACTCGTCTTGGGCGCCGGTTGAGTTCTTGCTGTGGACGAACGGCGCCAACATACGCCCAGATCAGGACGATTCTATTCGTTGCATCCTTGGTGTCCTGTTTTGAAAGTTTTCAATCCAATTCGTGGTGCGAGCTTGGCATTATTATATTGTGCTGTTGATGTTGGTGTTGCTTTGCGTTTCGCTCTGTGCTTTTGCCCCCTTTCTTTTGATGTTTCCCTGTTGTTGCTTTTCTCTGCTCTGTAACGGTGCAGATATCAGGTAAAGCAATTTTTCTTTTTTTGTTGTCGAGAGAAGCCGGCCCCGTTGTTCCATGTCTTCCAAGAGAGCATCGAAGAGCAGTGAGAAGCAGCCGAGCAAGGAGGTCCAAGGCGAAGTTCTCTCCGAGCATCTCTCGCCGATATGGAAGCATTCGAAGGGGCTCGGCGTGAGCGGCATGTTGGGCGCGGCGGTGGGGGTCGCCACCAAGCGCCTCACCAAGGACGCGCTCTACGGCGCCGGGCTTGCCGTCATTGCGCTCCAGAGCCTCAGTACCCTCGGTTACATCCAAATCAACTGGAAAAAGATGGAGGAGAAGGTCACGCAGGTGGCTGACCAGAACAAAGATGGTAAGTTGGATGTAAATGACGTCAAGATTCTGCTGAATCGTGCCATTCAGTTTTGCAGTCGTGGTCTCAGCGATGCGGGTGGATTTGCAACGGGTTTTTTCCTTGGGATGAAGTACCTTGCGTGAGCGCGGCGGAGTCTCGTAGAGTGCTTCCCACCCAAGTGCTCGGTGCAAATTACTTTCTAGCAGCAAGGGAAGCAACTGATATATTTTCCCCTTGAGTGCCGGTACGCCGGGCTCTGCTGTCTGACAGACCTACGATGTTTGTTTGTTGTTTTTTGTTGTTTTCTTTTGTTTTGCTAAGTGCGAAGTGCTTCGGGTGGCGGTCGCTGGGTGTTATTTCCCCAGCGAGGGAGTGCTTTGCTTTTGTGGTGTTACAATGTGAGTGGTGCAGCTCTCAAGGCGATGGTGTGCAACAAACAAAAAAAAAACAAAGCCAAAGAGGGGGAGTGGTTTTTTTTTTGTTTTCATGCAGCCCACCGTTTTCATATTTGTTATTTTAAGACTCCTTTCTATTGTTCTTGCGGTTGTGTTTGTCGTTCTTCCCTCGCTGTGTTGACTCCCTCACCGTGGGAAACAAGACACGGGGCCTGTGAATACATCATGGCTGTGGAAAGCGGTGCAGCGTGTGGCGAGCCTACGACGGTATGAGTGCGGAAGAGATATTTTCCTGTTGAGTGCTTTTTGGCGTTTGTCGTACTTTGTGTTGTTTCTTTTCTTTGTTGTTGTTGTTGTTGTTGTTGCTTGTCTCACAAATCATGCTACAAAAGAACGGTATCTGACAGACGTTGAAGGAGCAACTCATGTTTGACGTACTGAGCTCGCTGGTACAGACCGCAACAGAGACGGCGAAGAAACTCACAGATGAGGGATATGAGCTGGTGAAACAGACTGGCATGCTGGATCTCGAAGAGGGCTACAACGACGAGGAGAGGCGCACAGCTGCCCCGCGGTGCACAACAGCAGTGGCAGGGGAGGGGGACTTCGCAACGGAGCAAATGGAGGGCCGCGGGCAGAATGTGGGACCTCGCGTGACGAAAGAGCTGCTCTCTGTTCCGCCACCTGATTGGGAATCACCGACAGAAGAGTGGCAGCTACTCATAGAGTCCGCTCTGATGGAAGAGAACGGCTGCATCATCCCTCCCTGCAGGATTATTGANGACAGAAGAGTGGCAGCTACTCATAGAGTCCGCTCTGATGGAAGAGAACGGCTGCATCATCCCTCCCTGCAGGATTATTGAAGACGAGGTGCTCTCAACGAAGTTGAGAGGAGCCCTGAGAGTTGACTCGATCGCAGATTTACCAGAACCGCCAGCGGTAGGGACTTGCAATCCGTCGGAGGAGGTCGTGGAATGGCTTCTGTCGTCACCAGTCAAACTGGAGTTTCGATCGGCGTTGGTTCCCCGCTACGTGGAAGATGAGCAATACTGGGTCAACCTTTTCTGGCGCTTTCAAGTGTATCAAATGTGCCGGAATGCCTCTCAACTGTTGGATGTGATGGAGATTCTGACAACTGAGCCGAAACCGCTGGACGCTACAGGTGCGCAGNGAATGCCTCTCAACTGTTGGATGTGATGGAGATTCTGACAACTGAGCCGAAACCGCTGGACGCTACAGGTGCGCAGCGTAAGAAGAACATAGGTGTCGCCGCCAACACGGTACACTGGGAGCATTTGCGAGGAGAGCTCAACAGCAAAAGGGAGCAATCGAAGTGGCTGGAGGAGCAAATTAAAACTGTCCGTCACGAAATGGAGCTGGCTTCTGGGAACCTGCAGCTTCTTGTTAACATCATCAAGAAACGGGAAACCACAGAGCTCGGGAACTCTGTCTCAGAGAGTTGCAAGTATCATAAGACAAAACTCAGCCGCTTGATGGGGGAGCTGAAGACGCAGCAGGAGAAGCTTGNCAGAGAGTTGCAAGTATCATAAGACAAAACTCAGCCGCTTGATGGGGGAGCTGAAGACGCAGCAGGAGAAGCTTGAGGGAAGTGTGCTCTGCACTGAGCATGGTGCGCTTTTTGAGCAGCTCGTTGAATTGAATGAGCAGCTGCGCGTGAAGATTGAAATGTACGCATCAATATTGAGCGGAAATCCCTCGGAAGGGTGGGAAACTGTCTCTCAAAACGACTACGAAGAGGTGAAGCCGGTGTCCTGCACGGGTGCGGAAGGGAATGTGACCGATGGTGCGGTGTTCGAGGCTGCATTGCCATGGGAAGAGGAGGAGGAAGAGCAGAAAGAGGATTTTTCACTAGAAAAATGAGCAACTATATTGGCCCAACCAGAAATTATATATATGCATATCTATATATATATATATATATATATATATGGATATGAATATACTTGCGTCTGTACGCGCATCCTTTTATAGTTTGGCGGCGTACCTTTTTATACGGTCACTCCTGTACCGAAACCCAGTTAAACCTCCTTGCCTTCATGTTGTGCATCAATGGAGATGTCTCATCATATTATCCTTGTCCATGTCTTCCTGTAGCTCAGTCACAGCGGCAGGAATTGGAAGAGGGGAAAGAGGTGTAGGAAGCTTCTTGGTCCCTGATGAGTGCGGCGTTTCCACTTCTTAGGACATTGGGGCATGCACCACGAATGACTAAGGTACGAGCGGATGCTGCTTGGAAAGCACGCTGTCTTCTGTTTGGAGGCATGAGCCGAGCGCAATCGTCGCAAGGTTGTGAAAACAGCATGGAGAGTTTTCACTGTAACTACCACATAGGTGAGGGTTTCACGATTCCAATGACGTTTATTGGATCATGTGAAGAGTATGGAGAAGAAATGGTATTGGTCCATGTTCCGGGGCTTCCTGGTGCTTTCCCCGTTGCTGTAGAAAAACTTCGCCGTCACAAGTACTTCTTCCATCTCAAAGAGGAAGATGTTGAGGTTGTCTCGGAAGAAGTTGCTCAGCTGGGGCTTCTCTCAGTGATGGAGGCGGTGAAAAAGAGAATAGGCGATCCAGAGGTATTAGATCATCTGCTGTCAGTGGCGCGACGACGACAGGCGTCACTTCGTGGAGCTGAGCTTCTTATAAGCATCGGGAATCGCATCAACGAAGAGGCCCTGCAGCTTTCTTTCCCTTATCACTACGGTAATCATCATGCTTCCAAGCGATACTTCGATATTACGCCAGAGGCATGCACGCTGTTTGGGAATCACATGAAGCATGGAGCTAAGATGTTGTGCCGCTACGGTGTTGCAGTGATGGTAGGCATTGCCGCTGATGAATCGCTTGGGTGCCCTGTCCCGTTCTGGAATCCGTCAGGTGCTCCGGCAGCCTGCTTGGCACCAATGTTTAATTCATGTCACTCCATCTTGGTCGGAGAGGTGAAATTAGACTACAATGGCCCCATAGCCAACTCAGACCTTGCAACCCCGGAAGATCCAGCACGATATCTGAATCCCACCCTCGACGGAGTCTACGACGTGAGTTCGTGGCTGAACGAGGGCCTGTTTGGTGTGAAGGTGGGTCAACTGGTTGAAAATGGCTGTGTCGTGCACGGTGTTTGCTATAACGAGGGGCGGCAAGAGTTTGAGTTGCATGTTCGAGAATTGTCAACGGGTGAAATACGTCCGTCTGTCTCGTCTCTCCTGCGTTCACAGTAGCCTTTTAATATCACGCCACAGTGCACAGTTGTATGTGGACTTCTGTGTTTATTTGGTTGTTGTTGTTTTCCTTGGTGATGCCGGCCACCTCATCGTGGTACCAAGGTCCAGTACCCCGTATTGTCGGGGGAAGCCAAGCGCCAGCAACGTTCGCCANTTTTTTTTTTTTTTTGCTTCTCTTTTTGATTATTCGGAAGCATCATGGAGTCGTCCCTGACTGTTGCAGAAGTATGGAGGGCTAGGAGTGAATCCAGCCCCTCGCCACAACGGCCATCCCGTGACACCATGGGATTTAGCCACATCAAGCGAGCCTTCCTCTCCGATCTTGTTCAGGGAGAGGAACAGAGTGAGAATGCAATGCAGGTTCTGCTCATCGCACAAGGTTTGGCCAAAGTGGTGCCCTCACCAGAAGCCCACATCCCTTCGGATGATGATGATGGTGATGATGATGATGATGATGTTGTTGCGAGTGATGTTGAGTCTGCAGACATCATTGAGGATGCTGTGGTTTTGCCTCGTTCGGAAGTCATTGTGCCGCCAGAGCGAGACTGGCGGTGGTGGGGCATCCAACGCTACAGTGCCGTTGCCGTGAGTGCGTTGAGTGGTGCTGCTATAGCGAGTTCTATGAAACGTGGCCTGGGCCCCATAATCCGTGTCTTGGGCAGTGGGCTGCTCGTCACCCAGCTGCTATGTTCCTTTGGATACGCAGATGTTTACTGGAAGTGTCTCCTGAAGGATATCTGGAGGATAGGGGAACGTAGGCCTGAGAACGGTCTCTTTGCTGCGGTGTTTGACATCGTCGCAGGCTCCTTTGGAAGGAAATTAGCGCTGTTGTGTGGATTTGCCGGAGGATTGTTTATCTCTTAGACGTCTTTTCCACCAAAACGAAAGAAAAAAAAAAGTAAGGTGTTGTCGGCCCAAGCTGTGGTAGCCTCCGGTGCTGAGCGGGGTGGGTGACAAAAGTGAGGGACAAGAAAGGTTTCGAGCTGCTGCCTGGGGTCAAGACTCTACTAGCTATGAGGGCGAACGCTGGATTCATACTGGTGTTCTTTGTTGTTAATTTTTCTTGCTGTTTTTTTTTTTGCTTTCTTTTGCTTTTGCCTTATTGATGTATTGCCCTTGTATAAGAGCAACGTAGCTGAGACACTACGCACACATACAAGACACACACGCACAGGCACACGCCAACACGTACAGGCCGCAAGCTAAATTATGGTTGTCGTGTTTTATCGGAGTGTGAGTGATGGCTGGCGCGTCGGCGTCGCGGAGTCGCTCGACGGTGTGGAGGTGCGCGTCCGTGACGGAATGGCGGAGGAAACTGTTCCTTCTTCGGACATTTATATCCCGGAGTTCTCACCCGCAGAAGGCGACGTACAGTTGCTCTTCCGCATGGATGACGCACCTTCAGAATTCCTTCAGAAAAAGAATGCCGCGCTGATGTCCCCCTCTCCTCTTGTTGGTCTGCCGCCACTTATTGAGCTGCTTCGCTACCGTGTCGCCAACGACGAACTCTCTACTAATATTGGCGACAATTTCTCCATCCTGTTGGGCGAGGGCAGTCTCCTTGACATTCACCCGCCTGGGTACGATATGGCCCTCAAGGCCGTTCTCGCTTGGAGGGGATCACAACAGCAACAGGTGGTAGTGTCCTGTGGTCACGCGCAATCCAATTTGTTCGACGACCTGGTGTGCTCATGCTGTCTGCTGCTCGACGCCTCACCGGTCCAACTGCGAGTCATCGATGCGGGTATGAAGGTTATCTCTGCCTTCACCACCACAATAGGGAAACGGCAAATGAGCTACCTGCAGGCACATGTGTGTGCAGAAGAGGTGAAGCACGAAAGTGTGAAGGGGGTACGTGTAGATTGCGATCATCTTTGTACCTCTCGCATAGGCGAGCCAAACGACTTAAACTTCAAGGTATTCTCATATATTCTCTACGGGTTTAGCGACGAGGAGAAGGAGCGGCTCTACATCAACCGTAAGCAGGAGGATTTTGTGTGCCAATCAAACATTCGTGATGTGAACCTCATTGCACAGCTCCGCAGTGAGTATGCCACCTTCACTGAAGCTCTCGAGGTGCTTGGAATATCGTTTACTACCCAATTGGCTCTCTTCGGGCGCATCGCGGCTATAATGCATCTCACTGAGATCGAATTTTATGATGACGGTTCCTTGTCAAACCTTCCAGCCCTCAAAAACGTTGCCCGACTCTTGCAGATGGACTTCCAGGAGTCTCTGCGTATATTCACCTCGCGGGATGTGTGTGTCGCTGCAGCGCAGTTGCTGTATCAAGCTACAGTAGCTTTTGTGATTAGGAAGGTGAACAGCGTCATGAATTTCGCAGACTCATCCTCGTTACCACCGCCCTCTGTCACGGTGCTCTTCATTCCCCCGCTCTCACCTGTGGCATCTGACGACTTGCAGAACATTGTGGTCGCCTGCGTCTACGAGGACCTCGTGCAGTCCTTCCTGCGGGTGAGCGACCAGGAGGTGGTGCGGTGGCAACGCTCGGGGATCCGTGTACCAGAGAATATGCAGGCAGTGCTTGATTCGCTGGACAACTACAGTCTGCTGAAGGTGCTGTACGGCCTCGGTGGCATTCTCTCGGTCGCACAGACAACACAACCCGTGGAGCAGATCAAAGTGGCGCTAACCAGTTGCGCCAAGCACGCCAAAGTGAAGTTTAACGCCAGTACACTTGTGCTCATCGTCGAGCACTCCTTCGGGACAAGACAGTACCAGTTTCCGCGCAGTGCGGAACAGCTGGTGAGGCTAAAAACAGTGCATCACGCAGACTACGAGGCTCTCCGTGCCTTTCTTATCGAGAACGCTGATGTTGATACTCAGGAGGCGCTGCACCTCCTGTTGCAGAGCGACAAGGAGACTGCCGAGCATGTCATCACACAGGAAATGCAGCACGTTAGGTCACTCCTTGATGTGCTAAAGGACGAGACCAAGGTGTTTTGGTGGATTGGGAGCGTCGACCTTGGCGCCGACTACCGCGGCGACTACGTGGAGGCGCAGATAAGAGAAATCCCGTTGCGGTGTGCCGTCCAGCTGCGGCGGCATTTGCCTGAACACTACATTACTTGTCGTCCAAATTTTATCTCTACAGCTTTTAAACCGCTGCTGCCACGGGCCACCTCCAGTCGCAGCGATGTGCGTGAGGTCGCAGAGGCTATCCTGAGCCACTGCGGTGCGCAGTATTACGTGGCACCGGAATATTTTCTGCTGAGTGGCGAGACACTCGGGGAACTGTACCTTCGTCTAAAGAAGCAGCTTCAACGGCATGCGATGTGTATTCAGGCGTTTGCGCGTGTGCAGCTTTGCGCCTACACGTTGCGGTGGCGCGTTGCGGCGTGGGCGGACGTCATACAGAATATCGAAAGACAACGGCACAGAATTGTTGAGGAGCGCCGCTACCGCTCCCACAATAACAGCATGCACAACATGCAGTTTTTGGATCTTGTGGAGTCAGAAAATACTGCTCGTACTACTATCAAGGAGGAGTGCTGGAGCGAGAGAGCGGAAATGCAAAGAGAATTTCAGGCGGATATCGAGAGTACACTAGTGCAGCTCGTTGCTTCGTCAATCCGGAGAGAGGACAAGGATGCGCGAGCAGTCATGCGGTGTAATCAGACAGAGAAGTTGCACATGATTGAGGAATACATTCAGCAACGGCTGGAGAGACATCGGGCCAACCTGGACAGCATCATTGAGGAGCAGCTGTGCGGTGCCACCACCCAACGACAGTCTCAACGTGCCTTGAAGGCTCATGAGCACCTTCTCCGTGAGCGCGCTCGGAGCGAGGGACGGCGGAGGCGGCTGGAGGAGGCGATTGAGCGCAAGCGTTCCAAGAGTGAGATGTCTCGAAGAGAACGTGAGCGGGAGGCACAAGCACGGGGCAATAAAATGTGGCTTCGCCATCATCGCAACCAGGTCGCCCGTAAGGAAATTCAGCAAGCACGCGAAAGTTATAACGAAACTCTCGCGGTGCAGATGCTAGTTAACGACATGGAGACAAAAATGACACAACGAGTGAAGGAGGAAGTCGTGTCGTTCCGGCGTCAAGAGAATGAACGCCTATTTCGGAGGCTGCGCGAGGAGAGGCAACGCAGAGAGGAGGCAGTCATTCAGGCCGCGAAGGCGAGCGAAGGGCGGGTGGTGCAGCGGGAGCTACGCCAAGAACGAGCGAGGGAGGCGGGCGATCGGCGTAAAAAGCGCGAGGCACAGAAGCAGTTCGACGAACAGGAGCGACAGCGGCGGGCAATGCAACGTATCCACGCGGCGACGGAACGGCAGAAGAAGAAGTTGATGGGTTCACTCCTCATGGCGCAGTCTAGTCTCACAAAACCGCGTCTATATGAGCACAGTACGGGACAAGCATCTCTTCGCACAAGGATGCCCGACTGCCCGCTCGATGAACCTCTCATGCTCGCCAGCGGGAAGAAGACGTACGCACGGATGCTGTCGGAGTCGTCATTGCGGGGACTCTTCGACTACCACACGACGAAGCCACGTGCGAAGTCGCCGTATCCGTACGCCACACCTAATCGGTAGGTAGCAAGAGGAACACCTGGGGAATTACTGAGAGAGTGACAGTAACTGTATCGACCATCATGACCCTCTTCTGTTTTTTTTGTGTGTATTTCTGTTTCTTTGTTTTTTTGGAGGGGGTGTTCATTTCCTTATTGTCTTGCGTTCCATTTCTTTTTCTTTGCGGGGAGGAGAGTTCTTCTTCCTGATTTGTCTGCTCCACGCGTGCGCCTTGAAAACGAGTGTTGTGTGGCTGCCTTGACCCACTGTGGGCCTCTCATTTCACCATTCTGTGGCAGAAGAGCAAAGAGGAAAAAAAAAGGCCCACATAACAACAGCAAAGAGATTGTCGATCCCGCAATGCCCAACCTGTGTGTCTCTGCAACCTTCAATCCGCCCGTGATCTCCCTCCTCGGTGCGACGCTGCGAGAGGAGACGGTGAAGAAGATGGAACAGCGCATCCCCACCGTCATGTCCACTTCCGCGAGCCCCTCGAAGGAGCCAATCAAGTTTCTCTTCCACGCGAACCCTGACCACTGGCGCATGGAGCTCAGCCAGCACTTCTGCGATGATTTGCACAAGTCAGCTGTTTTCCTCGTGATCATTGAATCTCTGGAGGCGGAAGGCTGGGGCCTGCGGACCTCGAACTCCATTCGCAACAGTGACTCCGGCAAGGAAACGACGAAGCTGTTCTTTGCACGGAAGCCGTAAGCGAGCTGTGTCGAATTGTACCGATGTAAGTATGCCTCTTCGTATTTGGTTTGTTCTACCTTTTAAATTGATTATGCAATGTATAAGGGCATTTGCCGCATGTCTAGGGGAAGAAACGATGTTGTAGCCTGTTCGGTGTGTGTTATTACTGCTTTTCTTTTTATTTTCACGCATGTCGGCAGTGGTGACGGTGTCCTGCGCACTCTTTTTCACTCTTTGCACTCTCGTATATGGACAGTTACGACAACTATTCGAAGGTACAAGTAAGAACATTTCAGGACGCACATTACAAGTACACACATATCTCTTGCGGGTTCACTGTGCCTCGTGTTTTATCAGCGTTATAATACCATGGCTGCGCGGCGACCGCCCTGACCCAGGTCGGATTAAGTATTGAATCATCCGCCAGTCTGGCCATATTATGCATGGCGCCACGTGGCCTGCACGCTCGCCCAATATGTGCATACTCGACTGGTCCCCATCGTTCACCGCATACAGAAAGATAATTATATATATGGAGAGAGTGAGGGAGAGACGGTGACGGTGGCAACACGCCACTAGCCGTCAGCCATCGCTAAACGGATGCCAAGTAATATGTGCCAGATTCTTTGTGCCCAAGTAGCCAGTCCGAAGTGGCGTCCACACTATCATGTTCGGGGGCGTGCAGCAACTAACGAGAGCCTGTAGTCTGATAAACGGTGGGCAAACGTTTTTTTTTTTTTTTTTCGTTTTTGCTCTTTAACGTAACCACTGGAAGATGACGGAAACTAATTATTACAGCAGCCTCTTTCATTGTTCACAACCCTGGACGCTGCTTGGGTTGTTAGCTTGTGGCTGCTCGTCATCTACTGGCTGAGGTCGTTCCTGCTCTATTTCCGGAATTCGCTGATTTCGCCCTCCCAATTTCTCCAAGTTCTGCATTTGTTTTCGTGGCTCTGTCAACGTTCAGATGCCAGGTGAAATTTGACTCGTTTGTGCTTGGTGGTGAGGTGAGGGTTCTGTGCACACGATACGGCAGTTGTTTTTTGGACAACTGCACAGTGTGTGGCCTCTCGGGGGCTGGAGTTGTGTGCTGGACGGAAAAGGCATTTGGATTGCCCGTTCCATTCACGTGGCGCCGTGCCGATGTGTACGGAATTCCAAGTTCATGTACCCTTCAGGGTAAAATGCCCAAAAAAAAAGAATCATGACGCTTCATGGTGTATGTCAGACGTGCTTATTGTTTTCGCTCTTCCTCAGTGTGGTATCGTAGCAGTAAGCGGCAGACTAGGAGTAGGCAAAGTAAGAGAAGAAAAGGATATATACATATATTTAAAAAGATGGTGCGCGCGGCGACTGTAAAGCGTCCCCTGTGGTTGTACCTCGTCCCGTCAACATATACCAGCCGTATGCACCGTCTGGCGTACCATGCGCCTATGCTCATGTTCGGTGTGGCGACGACTGCGATCGTAATGCGACAGTCGTACTACCGCAGCTCACTCTCGGATGAAGATGAGAACACGTTCGACCGCATCGACCGCCGCGCGTATGTGGCGCTCCCCGACGGGCGTATGGCATTGGTGTACCCCATTATTGACACCCAGGTGACGCCCACACGCGTTGTCTTGTCGTTCCTGGATGCCATCAACCCCATGCCGTGAGCTTCGTAGTGGATGTGCTCTGGCCTGGTTTTTCTTTTTTTCTCGTGGGCGTAGGCGGAGGAGGTGAAACAGTATGAAGATGACGTAGAAACGAAGAAAAAGGAAACCAACGGACCGTCTCCCTCTCCCTCTCTTGGTACGAGAGAGAGAGAGAGAAAGAAAGTGTTACTCTTACATCCGCCTCATCGTAGGGAGAATGCATTCATTTGGTTTCATTATCTTCGGAATGCACAGCGGCATACGTATCAGAAGATAGCAAAGTGTTCTTCTCGTCAAGGAAAGCAACAAAAAAAATCCGAAATGCTATACTGGAAATGTACATAATGGCAAAAAAAAAAGGATCATGTGTCTTATGCTTCTCATTCTGTTTCTCTCTTCCTTTTCATTGTGTGTGTGTCGCTTTCTCCTCTCCTGCTCAATAGAAGAAGGCGGGGGTGCTTTAGGAAGGCGGTGTCAACGGCAGGTGATGGCGCAGTTCCCGCCCCCCTCGCTGATCGAGACGGAGGATGACGGGTGGTCTCTTAGGCCCCCACAACGGCCGGCGGACGAATACGCTGCTGCAATTGCGGGTCCCGTCGTCAGTCTGTCGATGATCACACGTCTGTGTCGCCGCGGCACACCGGAAAGGGTTCGTGCCGTCATGTGGCAGCTGCTGATGGGCTTCCTTCCTCTCGAAACGTTCCGCTGGGAGTCGTTGCGGGTGGTGAAAACAAAGGAATATCGTGAAATTGTGCATATTGTATGTGTACTTGATGAAAACGGAAATGTTGTGGCGGGGGAGGGCAGCTGCCGTGCAGTAGACGTCGATATCCCGCGCACGATTCCCTCCATGCACTTCTTCAACTCCCTGGAGGCGTCCACGACGGAAAACGGCGTCCCTGTGACATTCTCACCGACGCAGCAGAGTCTGCGGCGCATCATCCACACCCTCGCCGGTGTCAACAAGGGCCTTGGCTATGTGCAGGGGATGAACGAGCTGGTGGGTCATTTGTTATACGCCTTCGCGTCTGGGCAACGTGACGCAGTCAACGATACCATCGAAGGTGAAGTTTTCTTTTGTTTTCAAACAATGCTCGCATACCTCGGCGACGATTTCTGTCGTAGTCTTGATTTTGATCAGGATACTGGTGTAACGAGTACCATCCGTCACTTTGAGCGATTGCTTCAGTTCCTGGATCCTGTGCTGTGGCGGCACCTGCACAGTAGTCAGGTAAGGTCGGAGTTCTACGCATTCAGATGGATCACGCTGCTCTTCACGCAGGAGTTTAATGTGCCAGATGTATTTCGAGTGTGGGACTTCCTATTCTCATTCGGGGAGGAATTACGCAGCGTGGTCCTCTACGTCGCAGTCGCCATGTTGCACTATCAACGTGACGAGCTACTGCGAATGAATCATCTCTGCGAACTCCTCCCTTTGCTGCAGTCGTACCCGCCGTGCGATGTCAATGAATTTCTGAAGATTGTTATGCAGTGGATCGACCAGTTTGGCTTCCGGTTGGTGCAGCAGCTGAAGGTGTCAACTGCAGATGATGTTGCAGAGCTGCGGCGTCGATACCAAATGACTGTGCCGGGTGAGGCGTCGTGGGGCAGCAGTCTGTGGTGTTGGATGAGCTCTGTGAGGGATCTTGCAAGGCATGTGAGGGGGGAGCGTTAGTTCGGTATGGAGGAAACGCCGCCGTCTGCATCACCTTTTCTCAGATGCCTTCACGTGCTTCATTGTCGTCATGCGGGTGGCGAATTTCCGTGTGACTCTGGCATCTGCGCACGCACCGCGCATTCGATGTGCTCTACTCTCTTTCTTTCTCTCTCACACACACTCTCTCACACATACATATATACTTTGTTTCCTTTATTTTCTTCTTTCATTCATCGTTTGCGATACAATTTCCCCCTTTAGCATCAGTTCGTCTGTGTGCGGGTGTGTGTCGCTGTTGGGGCTCCACGGAAGGCAGGGGACACACAAGCTGAATACAAGGTTCATCTTGTATCGCTTGGTCGCTTTTTTTTTCTTTCTTTTCAGCGATACGCGCATAGACACCGCGAGGCATGACCTCACTGAGGGGGGCACCGAGCCTCAACAGGCCCGCGCAGAAGGGCTTCTCGTACGATGTCCTCGATGACGACGTCGATGACGACTACATTGTCCCCGTGAGCAGCGGGGCCGAGGAGAAGAAGAAGCGGAAAGGGGGAAAAAAGAAGGACAAGGAGCGGAAGCGGGAGAAGAGCAAAAAGCGGGGCGAGCGTCACACCTCCGACAGCGGCGGGGGAGGGGGCGGTAGCGGCGGAGGAACGACTGGGCGAAGTGGTGGAGAAAAGACGCGGAGTCAGCCGGCCTCCGCCGTGGAATACGATGACGACGACGACGACGTCGTGGACGAGGTGACGCAGTACTCGGATGACTTTGAGGACGACGATGCTGCCGCTGTACCGCCCATGCCGGCTTTTGATGCGACGAAGGAGCGGCAGAACATTGCCGAGGAGGAGGCACGTCTCCAGCGCATCGCCGAGGAAAAAGTGCGTGCGATCAAGGAGCGACACGAAGAGGAGGTGCGGCGTTGGCAGGCGGAACGTCAGCAGGCAGAGAGTGTGCTGCGTCAGCAGCAGGAGGACCTGCGCGCGCAGGTGGAAGAGTTGAAGCAGCTCCAGGATCAGAAGATGAAGGAGACAACAGCAGCGGCAGCGGTGAGGAGCGGAGGCGACGAAGAAGTTATGAACAGAGCACGGGTGCAACAGGAGGAGCAACAACAGCCACACACAGAGGCGCAACGTCGTCGACTACGCGAGAGGGAACGTGCAGTGCAACTCCGACGACTGGAACAAGAGGAGGCGGCACGCAGTCTATTCCAGCGGCTAGCACAGGATGTCCGTGAGGTGTTTCACGAGCTGAATCTCTCTGTCGTGGCCGCAGAGAAAGAGCGACTCATCAAGGACGAGCGGTACCGCAAAGAACGAGAGTTGAAGGACCGTCGTGAGGAGGTGGAGCGGCAAGAGCGGCTGCAGAAAGAAGTGAGGGAACGCGAGGAGCGGGAGGCCAAGTTCTGGGCTGCGATGGAGGATCGCGAGACCCGATTCCGCACACTCATAGAAACAAGAGCACTGAAGGACGAGGAGGAGCGGGAGACACGCCGCAAGCGCGACCTTGAAGACCGCGAGGCGCGCGTGAAGAGCGACAAGGATCTACGTGATGAACTCGACCGCATCGACCGAGAGCGGCGGGATAAAGAAGATAAGAATGTCCGTGACCGGGACCGTGTGCTGATTCAGACGCAGTTAGATGATGTAAGGCGTCAGTACGAAGCGCAGGTGGAAGAGGCGCGCCGTCAGTTCGAGCTCGACCGCGCGCACGCGGAGGAGATGCACCGCCTGGAGCTCGCAGCCATAGAGAAGCGACATGCCGAGTCGGCAGGGCAGAGTGATAGAATGCACGCGCAGCAGATTTCGCTGATGGAAGCCCACACAGGAAACGCGGCGAAGTTGGAGAAACTCATTGCGCAGATGCATGAAGACATGGACGCCACCAAGAAGATGAATGTGACACTCACAGAGGAGCGACTGGTGGTCCTGCGACAAAAGGAGCAGTTGATCGAGGAGCAGAAGGTGCTTGTGGACGCCGTTCTCGAGGAGCTCAAGTACACCAAACAAGAGATGGAGAAGGAGCGCACACGTATTGCCTCGTTGTACGCGAAGTTGGACATTTCATTGTCAAATTTCACGAAGGAAGCGACCGAGGAACGCCGACGCTGCCAAGAGGCCCATGCGCATTATGAGACGTTGCGGCAGCAGCTTGAAAAGGACCGGAAGCTGATGCTTCATGAGGTGGCGCAAGAGCGCAAAGTTTTTGAGCAGCAGTACGAAGAATTCATGGCAAAAAAGCTGCAGGCCATGTCAGAGCTACAGGAGGAGCGAATGGCAATTGCGCGGGAGCGGACAGAAGCCGCTATGGTGCGAGAGCGTCACAACAAGAACGAGACCGAGATGCTACAGTCTCTGCGGGCACAGGAGCAGGCGTATGCTGCAAAGATCGAAGGAATTGAGGAGGATCGTGCGTCTATCAGTGCGATGCGGCAAGAGCAGAAGCGCATCTGTGACGAGATCGCCACAGAGCGTGAGTCGCTTCGAAAAGAACGTGAGGCTTTCGAGAAGGAAAAGGCCGAATTGCTTCACCGCTTTGAAGAGTTGCAGCTGCGCGCGGCGGAGGCGGGTGCTGCCCACGAGCGTGTATGTCGCGACATGGAGCTGCAGAGCGCTGCCAAGACAAAGGCGGCAGCCGATCAAGTGACTAGACGTGTTGCTGCGCATGTGGACCCTGCAGTGGTTGCTGGAGCGGCGTCACGGCTTCAAATTGATCTCTCGCGACAGCGTGCCGTTTTGAAGCGTATCACATTTCCGTAAGCCCCCTGGAAAGAGAAAGATGGAGAGGTGGATTTAGTGTGGGTGGGGTGGGGGGGTCTCTCTTTGTGGGTGTGGGTATGTGTGTTAGTGTATATGTTGTGTTTGTTGTTTGAGAATAGGCGTGCAGGGGTATTTACTGTGTCCCGCAGAACTTCGTGTTCTCTGTTTCTCCCGCTCCACCTGCGTCCTCTGTGCATCCCATTCACTTTGCATGCCTGAGGAGGAGTGTAGAAGAGGGAACCAAAAAACCGCCACAAAGGGGAGAGAGAGCGAGGGAAAGAAAGAAAGAAAGAAAGGGAGAGAGAGAGAGAAAGCGGGAGCGGGTGGGGGAATATAATGCTGCGACTCTCTAGACGGGTTGCGGTCGGCCATGGAAAGACGATCCGGTTTGGCGGTGAGGCGCGGGAGCGGATGCTGAACGGCATTGAACGCATCGCCACTGCCGTCGGCGTTACGCTCGGCCCAAAAGGGCGGAATGTTATCATCCGCCAGCCGACGGGTGAGCCAAAGATTACGAAGGATGGCGTTACGGTCGCACGCTCCATAGAGTTCAATGATCAGTTCGAGGATGTCGGCGCGCGCCTTATCCGGCAGGTCGCCGGCAGGACGAACGACGTTGCTGGCGACGGCACCACCACTGCGACTATTTTGGCATGGAGCATTTTTGAGGAGGGTTACAAAAGTGTGGCAACTGGGGCCAACCCGATGGACCTCAAGCGTGGTATTGATATCGCCGTTTCTGTCATCCTGGAAAGTTTGCAGAAGCAGAAGCGGCCGGTAAAGGATTTGGCGATGTTGGAAAATGTGGCGACTATCAGTGCAAATGGTGAACGTCCACTTGGACATCTGATCGCCGGCGTTGTGCAAGCAGTCGGTGTGAGTGGCTACATCTCCGTGTTGGATGGAAATGCCGCCGCAACTGAGTGGAAACGCTACGACGGCTGGAGCATTGAGCAGGGCTTTGTGTCGAGTGCACTGGTGACAGATACGGCGGAGCTCAGAAGTCGCCTCGATAACCCCTTTGTATTCGTCACACCGCAGAAGGTGGAAGGCGTTGGGGATATCATATGCCTCCTTGAGACGGCGAAAACAAGTGGTAGATCCCTCGTTATTGTGGCGCCAGGCTTTTCAGAGCCGGTGCTACAGACAATCTATCACAATCACGTACACAAGGTTGTGCTATGTGGTGTTGTTTGTACACCTGACCTTCCGGAGGAGGAGTTGCACGACCTCGCCGCGTGCTGCAACTGTGTTGTGGAGAAGGTCACATCGATTGGGCACGTGGATGACGTGAAGTGTCTGCTGGGAACGGCAGAACGCATGGAGCAGACGATGGACAGCACCGTCATTGCCGGAGTGGCGGACGTAGCGTCGCGTGTGCGGGTGCTGCAGGGTCGTCTGGAGCGTGCTTTGACTGAGGAGGCAAAAGAGAAACTTCGAGAACGCGTCGCAAAGTTAAAGCGTACATTCGCTGTGATTCGCGTTGGGGGGCGGTCTTCTGTGGAGATCAGCGAATCAAAGGATCGTGTTATTGATGCGCTCAACGCCTCCCTCAACGCCCTTGCAGATGGGATTGTCGCCGGTGGTGGTGCGGCCCTCCTTCACGCCTCTAAGGATTTGGATAAGATTCTGCAGTCGGACGAGGAGATGGAGCAGGATCGGAGAACGGGAATCCTCATTGTGCGTAACGCAGCTCGTCTTCCGATGAAGCTTATCAGTGAAAATGCGGGTGAGGAGGGTCCCGTCACTGTGGAGAATGTCTCCGAATATGAAGACACCTCCATGGGTTATGATGCACAAAACGATCAGTATGTAGACATGTTTGAAGCTGGCATCATTGATCCCGTAAAGGTGGTCACTTCATGTATGGTTGACGCGGCGTCTGTTGCAGGCCTGATGATTACGACGGAAGCCAGCGTCTGTGACTTCAAAGAAGAGTAAACTACCGAAACAAAAATAAAGCCATTCTTCATATTGTTGATGATGATGATGATAGTGGTGTGTGTGTGAGAGAGAAAAAGAATTGATCCATGGAACGATTGACAGGAGTAGGTGTTGCAAAGTAGTCCATGGGGTGGGGTGGGGTGGGGAAGATGGCGGGGCGGCCTATGAGTTTGTTCACAGTTCTATGATCTGTTATTGGTGTCATTCCTCTAATGTCCGCAGAATATATGCATCCTTGAACGACAGTTTCTGGATGATGTAGCGATGGTGGTGTTGGTGGTGTACTCGTCCTCAAAACCACAGTTAGTATAAATTTGGTTACTCTTTTTTCCTTCATTTTCTCTGGCGGGTGCGTATTTTTCTCTGTTCGGTATAGAGAAGGGGGGTCTGTTCGGGCTCTAGCACTAGGGGAGTGTGTGTGCGTGTTTGTTGTTATTTTTTTAGTGTGTTGGTGCGAAGGTACATCTGTACCTGTATATATATATATATTTATATATATATATAGGGAGAGAGAGAGTGAGATGTTGCGATTGTCGCGGCTCTTCCGGGAGATGGCTCCGGAGCTGCAGTTGGAGTATGTGCCGCTGCTCTTCACTAGGACCATCCTCGGTCCGAGGGGCGGTTTTGCCGGCGAGGAGCGCCTCATCAAGCTCGAGGTGGCGCGTAAATACATGGAGGACGGTTACGCGGTAGCGCCTACGGACGAGCTGCGGAAAGGAATGTGGTGTTTCAACCCGGACACAAATCAGTATGATAGCTTTATTGAGCGCAATGAGGAATTTCTTGACTTCGCCGCGCGTAAGCGGCAATGGCTCGATGTGTACTGGCGGGTAAACACTGGGTACCTGCTCTTCGGGCGGCAATCGTGGGGGCAGGGTTTCCTCATTAACTGCCCGCTGCGCAAGCGGGATGTGGCGCAGAAGCTGTGGGAGCAGTACAAGGTGCGCGTGGACCCGCGGCTCATCGAGTTCCGCGAGAAGGACCGCCGCACGGGCATACAAGAGCTAGGGCACAACTGGTGCTGGCTGTACCTGCCGGGGGCGGAGGAGTTGGGTATTGACCGTGAGGTGTACGACAATAAGCGGGTGAAGGTGAGAATACATGTCCGCAAAATGACGTCAATGTACGCCCTGTACTAACCCTCTCCTGGTATTTGTCTTTGTTTGTGCTTGTGTGGTGAAAACATTTTACACTGCCTTGATACACGTTTATTCGTCTTTGGGGAAGGTGTTCCGATGTGGCGGCGATGACTTCTGCGAACCAAACCTAGTGGCTCTGCTCCCGTGGCTTTTTGCGGTGCTTGTGATACAGAAGGGCAGTGAAAGTTTTACTCTTGTACTTGCGTACACGTCAAAGGGAAGAGATTCGGAGCTCGCGCAAATGTTGATCAAGGCACTCCGAAGGCGAACACTGGTGCCTTCGGTGGCGCTGGTGAACTCGCGGCGCGACTTCTGCATGACGCGTTTCATGCGAGAGAAGTCCAGCAAGTCGTCGATGGAGCAGGAGGACAAGGAGGAGCTGGAACGTGAGCGGGTGCTGCGTGAACGTTTTTCGCAAAAAATCCAGGAAGCCATGCCTCAGTGTGGACAACAAAAAGCTGGAAATTGTGGTAGCGGAACATGTGGCACCCAACCGTCAGTCGGGTCTATGCAGCTGTTCAGACTCCTTTTTTTCACTGTCTCACTGATGATGTTGATGGCTCTCCTGCAACTGTCTGATGCAAATTCGCCTTTTAATATCATGCAGACCATTCCGTGGTGGCAACTGCCCATCTCATCTGTGGCGCACTTCGTCCTCATGCGAGCCCTGCTGCCCTACAGGGAGCAGAGGCGAATAAAGGAAGAGTACGAGGTTGCTGGGAGAATGAACCCGTCGCTCACGATCGATCAGTTTTTTGCCCAGCGTTACCCCACCATGTTCCAAGGCTACCGCACTCAACAGCAGGAGGTAGTCGCCGCAGTCGCGGCGTGCATGGCAACTGCCAACGATATGAAGTTTGCCAACTCCATCTCTCGCGCTGCAGGATCGGCCCGAGATGTGAGGGCATCTGTTGACAATATCGTTGATGCGCTAAGGCGTGATTACCCGCACCTATTCCAAAGCAGCGGGGCGCCGCCGTCTACACCTGTGGCAATCTAGCACCACTTTACCGAGTTCCACGCGTCTCGCAACAAAGGGGCAGGTTGAAATTGCATAGTGGGTAATGCTTCACCCCATGATGGCCGCAGTTTTTCTTTACTTTTGCTTGACTTCCGTGTTCTTGTCGTGCCAAACTCACAGATTTTTTTTTCGCTTGTTTCTTTTCCCCTCTTCATTCACTAACGGAAGCTCGACATCAATTTGTTTCGGTTTATGCTGAACCAAGATGCTCGACGGCGATTGTCAATACGTTCATGACACGTCTTCTGGCGACAAGCGGAGTAATGGCAACACGCAAAATGATGCTGATAAATTCTTTCTGTACTGTTGGCTGGATCCCCGAAACCCGGAAAGGGCACGGAGGCGTATTGGGGACATCTACTGGTCCGCGTGGAGTGCCTTCGTGTTGGGTTTTTTCCTCTCCGGCATCGGTGTGACGCTGCTTGTGTTGGGAGCCGTCTGTGTGTTGTTGGCGATGGACTACCAACGCGGCTGCGCCTTGTTTATAGCGGGATGTATGGTCAGCATCCCCGGTTTGTACAGTCTCATGGTGTTGTGGTTCTATGTGTGTGGGCGGAAGGGATATTCGTACACGCAGCTTCTGAGGGACTAACTCTGGTCACTTTCCAGTCGTGGTGGTGGTGCCGTGTGAGGAAGCACGTGGAAAGTGAATCTTCGCCCGCCTCCGGAGTTGCAGCGTAAAAGTTTCTCCGTTCTTTCTTTCGTTACTTTTTCTTTCGATACTTTGGTGTTTGTTTGTTTTGTTTTTTTGTTTGGTTCTTTTTATTCATTGATTTGCCTTCCACACACCCCTATCTCTTACAAACACACACATAGACGCGAACAAGAAAAAGGTAAGGTGCGCGACAGAGAGTAGAGGCAGTAGTTTAGGCACCTTCACAGAAATCCGCAGAGTCTTCAACAATGGACATGTCAAGTGAAGCGTCTGATTTTGAAAGGTTCCTTTCTGCCTTTTTCCCTTCTCACAACGGCTCCTTCACAAGTGCGGCGGCTGTTTGCGCACTCGCAGAGTACACAGGCGTCTCAGAGTGGGAAGCTTCAAAGGTGATGGATATGCGGCAGCATCAGCACTCCATGGGTCAGATGCACATGTACGCGGCGCGGTTGGTGGGAACGGGTCGGACGCCGAGTGAAGAGCGGCGCCGCATGACGGTGATGCTGCCAGCAAGTGGAACCGCGTCCCACATTGGCAAGTCCGTGTGGGGTGGGGATGACTCCCCCAGTCCATCCCCCGTTGCCCCGGGGGCAGAGCAGAGGCGAAAAATATGCAAACAGTACCGAGAAAGCGGCGCATGCACATTCGGCTCGCGCTGCCTCTATCATCACGCGAAGCCCCTTGCAGTGTGCCGGCCAGAGCCGCACCTGACAAAAGCGCCGCGCGCCTTTTCGTTGGGGATCATGGGCCGCTGCATGGAAGACATGCAGCACCTGGTGATATCTAACAGAAGTCCAGAGCGGAGCTCGAAGGGAGATAAACGAGAGATGCTTGGCGTGCTGCCGTCATCTACAAACAATTACTGTTCGCCGGTGAAATCACCAAAAGAGTCTTTAAAAAGCGGCACAGGGCAGTTGCAACAACAACAACAACTGTCGCCTCCACTGGTGAGGGCGCAAAACACAGCTGTAAGCCCAGCCTTTTCGGCGATGGGCGGCATTGTAATGGTGCCGCTCTCTCTTCCCAATGGAGAATTCTACGGGTACGCCCCTCTTCCTCTACACACGTCACAGGCGCAAATATCTCACCCCTAAATCATTTCTTATGTCGTTTTTTTTTTTCTGTCTTGTCTTTCGTTTTCCGTTCCGATTATTTTCTTAGGCTGGCTACCCTGTGCCTTCGTCACAGTTCTGTCTCGTTCGGTGATGTGGTGGATCCGGTCCCATTTGCTTAGGTGCGTGTTTTTGGATGGGAAACCGGACAGTTCATCGTTTTGCGCCGATCCCTTCACTCCTTTCCTTTAGCAGATGGTGGGGGCGTGCTGAGTCAACAGACTGTTGGGTGTGGAGGTATATCTTGGCGCTGCGCCGCTGTCGTTGTAGCATAGTGTGAGCACACTATGTGCCTTGTACAAATGCATTTAACGTCTATTCTCTTCGTAATTTTCTCGTTTTCTCTTTTTATGGGGTGAGCGTGCATCTCTGCAGAGGTAGTAATGCTGCAGCGTAGTGGCAGGCGTTTGTTCTCGACGTTCCTGTTGAACCCTGAGACCTCCGCGGCACCACATGGCCCTCCGCGCGGCCTCATCAACCGCTACGTGTCGATGGGGCTCCCCCCATGGGCAGCGTGGTGCAACAAAATCAACCGCTACTCGCTGTACCGCATGAGCGGTGTGGCGCCTCGCACATTCCTGCCAAAGGCACCGCAGGAAATGGACGTGATTTGGCTCAATGAGCGCGTCCGAGAGCGTGTGCGCACCTCGCGGAAGGTGCAGAATGTCTACAGACAACTCAAGTACCCCTACGTGAAAACAGGCATCCATTACAGTGATGTGCTCGATCACTGGGTACAAGTGCCGATGGTAGAGGCGGCGATGTTTGAGGTGGAGAAGGATGGCGGCTTTGACAACTTCATCCTGAAGCGTTCTGGTCCTGAGCTGCGCTCTACATATGGTGAACGAATTCGTCGGCATATTTTGGTGCGGCAGAAGGAGATTCAGAAAAATTTTGTACTGGATCAACAGGCAAAGCAACTCGCAGATGTCATTCAGGGGGAGATTGTGCCGCTGCAGGATGAAATGAGCGCAGGGCAAGTGTTAGAAAAGTACGGGATTGACAGGGAGCAGTTGCTGCGAGAGATGGCGCGCCTGGTCGTTGCTAGGAGGAAGGAGTCCGCTGCTGTTGCAGCAACGCCAACTGACGTGTCACCCTGATGGTGAAGAGAGCAAGAGAAGTTGAGAGACTATTTGTTTGTTCTGCATATCCTGGAAGTATATATAAATACATGTATACGACTGATCCTCTATCCCTTGTGGTTCGCTGGCTCTTGTATCTGTTTTCATCATTTTTAACGCGGAAAGGAATTCTGTAGCACATGCGCCGGGCGTTGCGCCTCGGCTATCACGCCTTCGTACCGAAAGGCGCGGTTCTCCAGACTGATGTGCTCGCGTCTTCGCCACACTTAACGACAGCCGTATTCCGCGAGACGGAGGCGGCGGCTGCGCGTGCCGACAAGGCAAAGGAGGACGCGGGTTTCTTCAGTCGCCCCCGTTTGAACTACCCGGCCGCGAGTGGCATCCCTGCCCTCATATCCGGGAAGCAGTTAAACGTGCAGTACGATGTTTTTCACCGCGATGTGGTGGCGACGCTTAACCGGCACACGTTGGGCACCGTGCTCGAGGGCCACAACCTCGAGACGGTCATCCGCAAGACGTCATTCGACGCCACACAGGCGGTGACGCACACTGCGGCGGCGGAGCATTTCAACTACTGCTTCTTCTACAAGTCGTTGCGACCGTGGGGCACGTCAGTGCCCGCGCAACTTCGTGAAGCATTCCAGCTGCAGTACAGCTGCAACGGCTCGCTTGATGCTGTGGAAGGTGTTAAGCGACTTATGACGACGACGGCGCTGTCGCACCAAGAGCGCTGCGGCTGGATCTATCTTGTGTGGACGGGAAAGGTATTCGATGTGGTGGAGTTTCCACATGGTTCGTGTCCCATTGCTAGTGACCTTATCCCGCTTCTGGCCATCAACGTGCACGAAAGCGCCTACAGCCTTGACTATGGTGTTGCAGGGTTGGAACAGTACGTGCAAAACTACTTCAAAGCCTGTAATTGGCCCCTTGCGGAGCGGTACTACTTACAGGCAACCGGGCAGGCGCAAACTGAGGCATAGTGGCGCCTGGTTGAAGGGAACGATACACTGGTATCTTCCGTTCTTCTTACCTCTCCCTCCCCCTCACATGCATACACGAAACCACTCACGGTATCCTACCGTGTGTCTCTGGGTTTCTGTAAAAAGGGTTGCGTTTTGTTGTCTATTCTCCCGTCATAGCGTTCCTCCCTTTCCCCTATAATTTTTGCCCACATGTTGAGAAGTTAAGCTCTTCCAAAGCAAATCATATTTTCAAAGATGGTCTTGCCGCCTCGCCACGTATACTCCGCCATCGTGAAAAACACAACCTCCAATGTCATGAAGGTAAAGGCCACGTACGGGATGCCAAATAATGCCGCGGATGAGGAGGTGGAGTTGTCCATTCAGCCAGCTGCAACAGTAAATCTGGAGCAGAAGGTTGTGCAGGTGGAACAAATGACGCTGACTGGCTATATCCGTCGAATCGCCGTCGAGGGCGCAGCGCTTGAGGCACCTTTCAGCGGTGTGACGTCGCCTGTGAAGGATTACAGGGTGGAGATTTACGCGGAGGATGGTGTACCGCAGCTGCGTGGGCAACCATAAATGATCGTTCCTGCAAAATAATGCATTGTGGAAGCCAGAGTGGTGTCACGTTTTCTTTTGTAGTGTGCGTTACATTCTTTTTTGTTTGTTTGTTTGTTTGTTTTCCGTTTCTTTTTTAGTAGAATTTGCAGGCGCGCTTCCGTCTGTTCACACTCTTTTGTCTTGTGCGATTCGTTGAGAGGCGCGGGCGTGAACTCGGTGTGCGGCTGGGTGGCACACGCATGAAATCCCCTGACACGCTGGCTCATATCTCCGTTAGATTCCCTTGCCACTCCTAAATTATATCGTATTGCCATGTTTTCTTTTGTTGTTGTTGTTGTTCTTTGTCTTCATTCTTATGCACTCTGTGATGACAGAGACGCTATATTGTTTGATTGATGGCGCCGGCTCCTCCCATTGTGTACTCTGCACTGGTGAAAAACACCACACACAGGGCGGTGACGCTGACTGTTACGTGGGCGATGCCAGACACATCCGACGTGCAGGCGCAAGTGGGTGTGGCGTCCGGTGACACAGTGAAATTAAAGCAGAAATTTGTGCGCCGCGGATATACCGTTCTGACGGGCTACATCCGCCGGATTGCCATCAATGGCGAAAGACACCGTGAGGCAACGCTTGAGGCACCATTCAGCGGTGTGACGTCGCCTGTTAAGGACTACAGGGTGGAGATTCACGCGGAGGGTGGCGCACCGCAGCTGCGCGCAATAGGAGTGAATCGAAGTGTCAGCTCTTAGCACGGTGGTCCGGCGTCTCCTCCTCCTCCGTCACTCGATGGGGCAGTTGTCTCCAAAATGAGTGGCGGCAGTTTCAAGTTCAGCGAAGATATAACAGTGCGGTGGGTTCTGGTGTTTTTTTTGTCTTCGGTTCGAAGACCATTTCGCTCTCTCATTACCTCCCTTTCTGTTCACCCTTTGTCCCCATACGCCTAGTCGCATGTGCTTGGCTCATGCAGGGGTGACTGGCTCTGTGCCCTGTTCAATCGTTTTCTTCTCTTTCTCTTTCTCTTTCTTCTCCGTCATCTCTCTCTCTCTCTCTCGGTGTGGGTGTGTGCAAAGGTTCTCACTGTCGGTTCTGGCATTCATCGCGCGATGTCCTCACGTCAAGGCGGTAAACAAAAGCCACTCAAGGCTCCAAAGAAAACACGGCAAGATGAAGATGAGGATGATGTCGCCTTTAAGCAAAAGCTGCGTGATCAGCAGAAGGCTGAAAAGGACGCCATCGCCAAGATGAAGGGCGGCAAGAAGTGAGTATCACGCGGGTTCACCAGGAGGCCGTCGCTTCTCTGACATTTTTATTTGGTTGCTGAGAAGCATCCGGGGCGTAAATAATATGAGGTAATCCAAGACGTTCGAGCTCTAGGAAAACATTCATAAAGCATTCTTGTCTAAGAGTGCTGTTCCCCCTTCATCTGAATGTATTTACTGTTCTGCTTGCTGCCATTGCGGCTATTCTTTCTTCTTTCTCTCCCTCCCTTCCTCCGACTCGTGTGTTTGTGTGTCAAAGTAGCTGTGCAAGAAAGACGACATTGTGAGTGAGATGAGTGACCCTATGACATCGGATTCCACCCCACTTCAGCCCGTGACGGAGGAGCATCGGAAGCTTGTTTTCTCCTTCCTCCGCATGCTTCGCACGGTGGACTCACCGAACCCCAGCCGCGTGGATGCCGTCGCGCAGCTCCTTGGCGAGGAGTACGGCGTGGACCCCGCTGGTGTTGGTGGCGTGCACGACACCGACGTGGATCTTCTCGCGGTCTTCCGGCAGGCGGTGCAAAATAACGAGAGCACTCTGCATGATGAGAAGTTCCAGGTGTTCCTTGACCTCCTTGTAAAGAAGGGATACTTTAACAATGCGGCACCAGGGAGCGAGGAGTACAAGAGCCGGTTGGAAAAGGCGAGACAGAAGTTCGAGAAACGTAACAACCCGTACGAGGGCATGACCGCGGAGGAGATCAAGAACAAGGGCAACGACTTGATGGGTGAGGTCAAGTACAAGGAGGCCATCGCGTATTACACCAAGGCCATCGAAATGGAGCCGGAGAATCACATCTTCTTTGCCAACCGTGCTGCAGCGCACACGCACCTGAAGGATTACCGCAGCGCCCTGCTGGACTGTGAGCGGGCCATCGCTATTGACCCCAACTACCCCAAAGGGTACGCACGCATGGGCACAGTGTTTTTCTACCAGGAAAAGTACTCGAGCGCCGTGGACGCCTTCACCAAGGCGTGCGAGCTTGACCCCGAGAATGAACGCTACAAGGAGGATCTGAAACAAGCAGAGGACAAAATGAAGCTGAGCGGTAACACTCTGGCAGGCGCTGGTGGTATGGGCGGTTTCCCCATGGGTGCCGGGATGCCTGACCTCTCTCAGATATCGCAGATGATGAGCAATCCCCAGTTTATGGAAGCCACCACACGCATGATGGAAAACCCACAGTTCAGTCAGATGGTCGCCAACATGGCCTCCCGGTTCGGCGGGCCCAACGCAAATCCCGAGGATCTCGCACAACTTATGAGCGGTGCGAATGCCCACCAGACTGAAAAAGACGGCCGCGTGGCGACACCGTTTGGATACATCAACCGTGAAGCCCTGGAGAAGCTCCAGCAGGAGGAGGTGCAGAAAAACCCAAAGTTCCGCGAAATCATGGAGGACGTACAGCAGAATGGCTTCGGTGCCTTCCAGAAGTACATTGGGGATCCGGATGTGATGGATCTTATGATTAAATTTCAAAATGTCGTGATGGGTGGGAGCGACAACGCAACCTCTTGAAAAAAAAGGTGAGAAAAAAAAATATGGCGGTCTTCTAACAGTGAAGAAGGTATTTTCCTTTTCACACCACTTTTTTTAAATACTATTCGTCTCTCAAGGGCACAAGGGTGTGTGAAGATGTGGGCCATAAGTACTGCGCTGACAGGAAGAAGTTTTTTCATACATCATGTGTTTTTGCTTTTCCTTTGTGCCGCAGCCAAGATGGGTCTTACTGCTTGAGGGAATGCCGCCACCAGCCACTCTGTGTGTATTAAAGGAGAAATGAGCTTCTTTTTTTTCGTGTGTGTGTGTGTGTGTGTGTTTCGTTGTGTGGGGAGGAGGGTGCTCTTGTTGCTGCTGTAGACGCTTCTTATTTGAAGAATGTTTCTTTCGAGACTTTTTTTTTGTTCTCACGGACTCCTTAATTGCATTGTAGTAGGTATTGAATGTGTTCGGATACTCCCTAGAGCCTGTAGCAACAAATGGACCGCGCCGGTACGAACAAGGCCCTTGTTGTATCGAGTCTTGATGCCCCTGAGCGTGACGTTGTTATCAACGGTATCGCCATGCAGCTGGTAGAAAATGTGACAACACAGCTGTGGCACCATGGGTCTATGGTTGTCCTAGAGCTACCGGTACCCATCACACTTTTGGACAGAGTCTCGCCAGAGTGGCGTGGGGCTTCAATGGTGAAGTACGTTGGTGAAGACGAGCCTAAGCCAATGCCGTCGCTCTCGCAAAGCATTTCTTGTGAGAAAAGTGAAGTACGCGGCATCCAGTGGCTTCGGAGAACCATGCATGACTTTTTTAATGAAACAAGCAGACGATTCGTCGCAGCCGCTCCGCGGGGATGCAAGGTGGAGATCGGTGTGGATCGTGACGATTCGAAGGAGGGATCGTTGTCGCACTCAATGTCTTGCTCTTCTTTGCCTGAACCTTTCTCGTCACCTTTGGACATGCGAGCGTCCCTGTTGAATTACCTGTTGGAGAAGTGGGGAGACCATGCTCTCGTTCGTCAAGCTGGCACGGACCTTCTGCGCGCCATACAATACCATCGGGAGTGGGATGTGGAGACTCAGTTGTTTAGCGCGCTCCTCTCCTGCACTAAATACGAGGACGTTGACATTCAACTCTTTCTGCAGTGGTGGTTAGAGCTTCAGCATCATTCCTATCCCCATCGTGCGGGTGGCCGCCAGGTCCCTGCAGGGAAGCTTTGGTCAGTCGCAAAGATGTGTCTTTCTGCGTGTAGTCTCGCCAGCGTCACGAAGACGCCCGTCACCAGACGTGTGCAGAATGTTCTTGCGCGCTGGTTTGGCACTGAAGAGAAGGGTGGTGCTGGTGATGGTGTCAGTATCCCCGACACAACAGGTCATCCTCATGTGTTCTCATTGCCGTACTCGATTGATGTTCTACGATGGTTCGTTGGTGTATCGACTCCACTACCGTCTACAGCAGGACTGACGCCGCGCTTGGGTGCGGAGCATACAGCGGTACCGGAAGCACACCTGCTGGCTCTCCTTCTGCTCAATACAAAAATGGAGCGACTCCGTCAGTCCCCACGTGTGTCTCCCCCTTCCGTGATGACGAGAGAGGCACGCACCATCGTTGGAGAGCCAGATTCTACGAACGACGGAACCAACGCAGCCGCCAATCGTCCAGATTGTGGTAACAATGAAACAGATGTGGAGGTATGGGTTGGTGTGTGTGATGGGGAGGATGGCACAGAAGCAGATTGCGATACCAACGCTGAGGTGCATCTACACCGAGACCGAGGCAGTATCACGGTTCGCCCAGCACAGCAAGAAGCGAGCCCGAGTACAGTGGGTCTTTCCTTGCGTGATCACGAGACACGCTTCAGAGCGGAGCTGGAGGGCCTCGAGCAGCGCGTGGCGAGGACAATAGAACACCACCAGAGAGTCACGACTTCACATGCCGTGAAGTAGATAAATAGTTGTAGAGTTTACCTGATGTCGTTAAAGAGCGAGCATTGTTAATCCACACTTATTCCTGTGGATGCTGTTTATTCGTTTCTGTGGTTCCTGCTAGCTGTGCGTCTCTCCACCGGTCGGTCTGATAACGAAGCAGGAGGAAAATGAGGGCACTGGTGACGGATGTCACCAAGTTGCCCATTGCGTACCGCGCGCTGCTGGCTGAGTTTGACATAGACACTGGCTCTTCCTTGAGGGCGAAGTACCCGCCTGCTCCACCGGTGGTAAAAGAGGCAGTAGATGTGGAGGGAAATACGCTCTGCAGCTTTGGGGACGATGAAGAAGTGCCTCCAGAGCGGTTTTACGCCTTGGAGCTAGACGACAATTATTGCGCGAGCCACATGTTGCCTGATGGTGCTGAGAAGCACTTGATTAGTCGAAGTGTTTTCATCGTCAATAGGCCAAAACCTGCGATTTACGATCGCTTTCATGTGTACTGTTTCGCCTTAGCGGATACAACCGAGCCTGGGGAAGTAGACACAAGGGATATAGGTGCTTCCACTCACTGGGAGTGGGTGCGGAACACAGTGGCTGACGACCCTTTTCTTCACGAGGAAATGCAGCGAAGCAAGATGACAGGAGAGATAATTGTTCGCTCCAAGCGTACTGTGTTGTTGGGCCCTGAGAGGATTACAGAACCCGGTGCGCTGCAGGTGTGCCCCGCCATCCCTGTAAGCGTTGTTGCCTTTGCACACCAGCTGCAAATCAGGTGTACACAGCATGAGTTCGATTCTGTATCATGCGGTGCTTTTGTTGGTAGAGATGAGGTGTCGATGACCGGAATGGCTGCACCATCGTCCATGTATATTGGGGGGTATTCGTTCGCGGTGCTTCGAGTTGACTCTACGTGGCATGGCTTCTTGTTGCAGACGACGCACCTGGAGAGATTAAAGGAGGTGATGGATACACTACCATTGGATGAAATGGGGAAAGGGGCACTGGATGGCACAGAAAATAGTACTGTGCCTCCACTCTATGGACTTTGTGCGGTTGTGACGCGCAAGGATGCCTCTGTTAGGCGTGGTGGCATCAGCAAAAGCGTGGCACTCCTAGGGCCCACGCTGGTCTGGCTCGAGCCTTTTTTTCCGCTCCTCGTAGAGACTGCACTGCAGTGCTGCGATGTAAAGGGAAAAACAGAGGAGGCAATGGAGCAGCAGACTGCGTTGCTGCGACGTTGTTTTGATGCTGTTAAAGGCGCAGCAACTCCCTTGATGCGGCAGCTGCGTGAAACAGACAGCTTTCTCGAGATGGAGGTCATGAGAATATCTACAAGAAGCTTGAAACCGGCGCATGTGTCATACACTGCCTCGCCTTTTGGAACCCCACATTACCTGAACATACCTCTCTCACCGGAGTCGTCTGATTTTACCTTCTCCCGCTGTGGTTTGGAGCAAATGGTAGAAGTCTCTGGAGCATCGTTCTGGACTGTTTTGATGGCCATTCTTCTAGAAAAGCGCATTGTGATTTTGTCCCGACAAGGTCTCCCCAACGATGTCTGTGAGGCTGCTTTGTCACTTGGTCTCATTGGCAACTTGTTGGACCCGGGATTCACAGCTAAGAAAGTATTCCCGTATACTTCCGTTAACGGTTTCCCTCACTTCAGTAGCGTGCCAGGGTATATTGTTGGAACACTAAACCCAATATTCGAGACACAGCATGGGTGGTGGGATGTTCTGTGTGACTTGGACAACAAAAGTGTTATGGTATCGCCCGATGGAGGCAACGGCATCAAGACAGGTGGGGTATTGGCGCACGATATACAATTTTCCAGAGAGATCCTCAGCAAGGTGTATCGAATGAGGGCAATGCGGGAACCAGCAGGTGAAAGGCACCAAGCTGTTCTCTTGTCAGTAGAAGAATGCCTTGGACTTATTATTATGGTGAGTGAAGCATATGAGACGCATGGTTACCGTGTCGCTCGGAGTATGCAGAACACGTATCTTACACCAACCATTCTCAGGCTACGCGCAAGTGCGCTGCGTGGTTCTATGCTAGATGATATGCCTGACCGTTACCTTTTTCCAGGGGAAGATATGACGATGTTCATTAGCGTGGCTGTGGTGCGTCGTGCCAGCAGCTGCGAGGAATCCGAGTTGATATATGCATTGCACAACCTCCTTGGTTTCGTGCGGTCTTGCAAGGAAGTTCTTCTGCTTCTGCGGCGCATGCCGCTTGCGTTGGAAGGTCTGAACCCGCTAGCTGCACAACTTCTGCACGCTTCTTCTATAGTGCGTCAGGCGGCGCTGGAGTTGATGCGACGCGTGGAGGTATTCCCACCGGGCAGGGCAGCCATTACTGCTATGAATAGCTTTCTCTTCATGGTGTATGAGGAGGCCTCTCGGGAAGCGTGATGGTGCACCCTTCCCGAGAGCCCCTGCGGCCGTCGTTTGTGGAAATGATCTGGTTGGTGTACTAGAGTGCAGCTGTGTGAAGAGAAGAAGCAAAAAAAAAGCAAACTGAAAGTTGGTGGGTGTGGAGAATTTACTTGGTTGATTTTCGAATGAGCCTCATTTATTTGGGGTTTTTTTTCATCATTTGTCATTGTCATACTCATCATCATCATCATCATCATCAAATTGTTATTCTTCTTTCACTTTCGGTGTAGATTACAATGGATAACTGGATAGAGTCCATAGAGGCGGTATCAAGCGGTGTGGGTGCAGTGAACGCTGCTGTTGGTGGGGTCGTGAATCAGTTCTTGGCCTTTGCAGAACAGTACAACGTTGCTGCTTCCCAAACAGAGGTGGCAGTAGGCACCCTTACCCAACGCATAAGTGGATCATCCACCGGGCTCGTTGGATGCCTTACAGATCTCGCCACAATGAGCAGGGCGATGAAAGACGCGATGGATGCGAACCCTGAAGAAGCTGGTACTTTAGTGTTTAGTTTGTTCAACATTTTTCTCAAGCAGCTCACAGTATACTACAAGGATGCCTGTGAGTCACTTGAGCAGGCCGAGTTGGCGTTTCGCAAAAGTAAGCCCTCCGTTGGTTGCCGAAGTGGCAGTGTGCCGGTGACTGACGCAATGCCTCTTGTCACTCGATCGCCCACAGTATCCACTTCGCCGTCGGAGGCAGGCATCGCCGCTAAGAAACAGCCCACCGAGAAGAAAAAGAAGAAGGCGCAAGAAGCCAGCAGGGAAAATGCGTTGATCCCCCGCGAGCAGCAGTTGGAGGGGAAGGCAGAAAACGTCACGCCGACCGTGGGACATTCCCCCGCCTTGGGCGATGGGTCACTGAAGGAGAAGCCAACAGCTCGTCGTGGCACGGCGTCCGCCGCGGCGAAGGTGGTGATGGAACCGGCGTACCTGCACGTAGGCTCCACGGTGGAGGAAGCACTCGGACGTCTAGTGCTGTCCAGTCGGCCAAACGTCTTCACAGCACCAGAGGTGATTGAGCGTCGGTCGCCCATTACGACGTACTATATCGCACTTCCTACGCCAGGATGCCTTGGATCACTGCTCCTAAAAAACTACATTTCCCTGGGGGAGGATATCCAGGCGGATCTTATGTGCGACATTCTACGAACAGACTGTGTAGAGGTGGAGCCTTTCGATTCGCCTGACGGTGAAATTGTAGTAGAGGACCCTTCTGACCTCCGCGGTATACCGGCGTGCGGATGGCGTCTCGGAACAACGGAAGACCGGCAGCAGATGCTGTACACACTCTACGTTCTCGTCGATCGCGGTGGGACATCATCACGATCTTTGTTGATTCAGGAATCCCTCTTGGTAGGTGGAGAACGGGAAGAGGTGTTGCACATCATCACGGCTTTATCAGAAGCTCCACAGTTTGCCAAGGTGACGGTACGTGGGTTTAGTCAAGCAGGGAGGCGGAGCTCATCCCCTACGAAAAAGTACACCAGCGAACGTTTGTCAGCTATTGTAAATATAACAAAAGATACATACGAGCGGAATGGTTTCTTTGAGGTGAAGGAGGACGAAGTGCGCGCAGAGGTTCAGCGGCGCCATCATGAACTGCAAGTGTTGCGAGAAGAGGAGCTTCTCACAAAGTCAGGTGCCACTGAAACGGCTTTCCAAGGCACAGTTGAATTGGCGTCGCTCGACCAACCATCTGAACACCAAGGTTGGGGCCTCAGTGATGTCGCCAAAGGCGCTGTGCGGGGTGCCGCAGCTGTTGTGCTTGCCCCTGTCTCTGTTGGGAAAGCTGTAGGAACTGCTGTCCTGGGAGTCTCTGGTGTGACAGGTGCCATCAAGCAGCAGACAGAAAGTCTCTTTCGGAAGTCTTTCCCACAGCTGGCGTCTGAGGATATCATCGAAACGTTCAGCTGCGCGCTGGTGGATGATGGAAACCCGATACCAAAGCAGGGCTTTATATTTATAACGCCCAGATGGCTGTGTTTCCAGGCCGCCCTTGCACACGCAAACTTTAGCCTGGAGTGGGATGAGATCCGGGATGTCCAGAAGCAGCGGACTGTCAAGTTGCTAGAGAACGCCATTATTGTGTCAACACACTTGGGTGGATCGTACTTTTTGACCTCATTTGTCCAGCGAGATCAAGCCTACAACGTCATAATGAAACAGTGGCTGAGGAAGTAGCCCTTACCATCGCCCATTGTACATATA